AACCTATATCACATTATCACACGTTACTGCTCTTGTTGATGTTTGGTAAATGTGAGGAATACCTGTAAATAAATAAAATAAATAGAATACTATGTTTCTGGCTTGACTTTATAACATAGATGACAATCAAGCAAATCTATTATAGTGTGGAAATTAAGCAATAAAGCAGGAAAGAATACGCCGTTCAGTTGCTATCTTATAGCTTTATAGATATGAATAAATGTCAATTCTATACTATTATGGGATTGTGTGCGAGCTCTAAATACATTGGCAGAACATAAGAATGATACTTGAATCGGACGACCGAGTATTCGAAGGTCACAAAGGACAAAGAAAGAAACAGATAAAATAACCAAACAAGCCTTATCAATGCCATTGAAGGATGCCAAGTCCAAAATCCTTCAGCGTTGCTTCAAAATCTATCAGAAAATAGTCACAAAACAGTAGGTAGTCGACAAATCTCAAGAATGATGGAAAAATTAAGTAGAACAGAAGGAGGCGAAATATTTCACAGTAGAATACTCTACAGAATTTATGGCAGATCTCATAAGCAAAGGCAGAAAAATTGTGGTGTCTACTAACAAGGCATTGCAGACTCAATAGGTATTTAAAATTGATGGGGTAAACAGATGAAGCCTCTAATAGAAAAAGTCCCACAAAACTACAGTAATTAGCAGCTCTAGGTACAAATGTAGAGAAGGCACAACACAGCGCAAGCTGCGCTAGAAGTAATTCCGGACTTGCAATCAATCGACTGGCTCGTGAAGGATCTGGTCACTAAGGGTACCCTAAGATTAAGAGAATCCAATCTGTGGAACCAGACCAACTACGCTCATTCGAGGATATTGCCAATGATAGGATAAAATATGGCAAACACGAGTCCACATCTGCTAGACTAGAAAATGAACTATATCCTCACCAAACATGATTTTGGAGAAACGATAAGTATTCGCATCCCGACAAGAAAAAAATGGAAAAGCAACCGAGTAATGAACACTCAAGAGATAGCAGTATACACAGATGCTTCCGTAATTTCAGGAGGCACAGGTATAGGCTTCTTCTCAGAGGAACTAGACATCCGACGATCTTTAAGGCTATCGGATGGCGGTAATGTTCTACAAGCAGAGGTTTAGGCTATAATGGGAGCGGTCAGTTATATTCGAAACAAAATCGCTGATAGAACAATAGGAGATATTGTGATGATATTCTCTGACATCTTGGGCGCTTTAAGAAGTATCGCCATGCAATCAGTGAGATTGAAAACTGTGATGGACAGCCACGAAGCACTGTCCTGGCTGCGTCAAGGCGGAGCTACTCTGTGCTGGACGCCAGGCCACAGCAATGTGGGGGACAACCAAGAAGCAGACAGACTCGACAAAAAGGGGAGAGGCCGTGGTGGATTATTCACCACTTGTGACGATCAATACACTGAATAAAGCTATAGGAACTACCATCAACGCCAAGCAACAAGAGACGTGGCAGTACCGTTAGGACAGCGTTACAGCTCAAAGACTGTAGCCAGTTGTAGATAGCAAAAAGACAAAAAAACTACTGGAGCACAAAAAGAACCTATTACGCATAATTGTAGATGTCATCACTAAAAAAACTACCCCACGGGTGTAAACCTCGTGAGATGGAAGATTTCCAACGACGACTACCGCAGGGAATGCGGAGAGGAAGAAGAAACCATAGAACACCAGATGTGCCACTGTCCGGCATTGGAATGCCGACGGTTTAAAACTTTAGGACAAGGTTTTTTAGAGGGACTAGAGGAAGCAGCAGAAGCTAACATCAGCGACATCGAGAACTTTGCAAAGAGCTGGAAGTGCTTCAACGCAAAGAATGAATGAGAGGAAGGTTTGGTACAATAATACAAGGGTATCACAATGGACCCAAGTCCTCCGAGTTATGGATTAAACAGCATCTCAAACCCTAGCAACCTAACCTGACCTAAACAGACGAGGGCATGTGCAGTTTCTATCAATCAAAAAGAAGAAACAGCAGAACATATTCTATATAAGAGCGATAGCCTGGTAAATGGGCGGGTCTTGTAGGTATTAGGCAATGATAAGCCATTGGCAAAAGTCTATATGGAAGGTTTACTCCCCATATTAATAGACTCTTTGTAAAGAATAATACAAATGAAAAATATAATCAAGTTATAAGAAGAAGACCGCAACAGTTCTGTAAAGGTTGCAGTGGAATAGGCCAATATCCACATCAAAAATCTACAGCTTGACTTTAAGATTTTTTTTTATTTATACAGTATTTGCCAAAAAATAAAAGAAATGAAAATAAGTAATGATAAAACGTACTTGTTCTAAACTGCTCTGTCCCAAAGAATAATCCTCGATGGGCAGATCTCTCCTTTTACCATCCTCCAATATACCGAACATCCGCGACCAAGGCACACTCTTATCCATGATGTAGTACGTTAACAGTTCCTCGTGCTTCTCTCGCAAGGTGGCGTTGGGGAAATTCTCACCAATGTACCGCTCTATGGCGCTGGTATCGGCATGCGTTGAACCGGAACTTTCGTCGGGCTTTTTCACTTTTATCGTTATGGTGTAGCCTTCGGCAAATTTGTCCTTGAGGTGTTGCGTGGATCCCAGGCATTTGAAGTTTCCGTTAACCATGATGGCTAGTCTGGTGCAGAGAGCTTCGCATTCTTCCATGCTGTGCGAAGTTAGGACAATGGTCTTTCCGCTGTCTCTGACTTTACAGAGGGCGTTCCACAAGTATCTTTTCGTGGCAGGATCCATACCTGGATAATATTAAGTGTATCTAGTATTTTATGATGCGTTAAAACACAAATATTATAGTCTAAGAGCTACCAACGTTTTCGAGAAAGTATTAATTAAGAAACCTGGCTCGTTGGTGTATCTTTTACTATGCTCTCTGGAAGAGCATGCCGATACACGTTGTGCTCATTACTGAGCATCGAAAGAAGATTCTATATATTTTTATTTAGTCCGTTAAATCTTAGTACTAAAGATATATCGAGCAAGTCTCTATAGCGCGGCGCGTAGAGGTTCTGCCTATGAAGCGAGGAGTCCGAAGTTCGATACCGGCTCGGGGTAAGGTTGCATTCACTACTGCTACGGCTCATAAACCCACAAATGCCATCCGCTCTGGTAATCAAAAAAACAAATATTTAATACTTTACTATCAGAATATAAACAAAAATAAAATAATAAAAAGTTTACCCCGAGCCGGTATCGAACTTCGGACTCCTCGCTTCATAAGCGGAAACTTTCCGCGCCGCGCTGTGGGGACTTCCCCGACTTTTTTTCAATACTGGAATTTAAAAGACTAAATAAAAATGTAGGATTTTCTTCCAATGCGCAGTAGTGAACGCAACGTGTATCCGCACTCTGTTCCAGAGAGCATAGTGAAAGATATATCAAAGAGCCAGCTTACTTACAATACTTGTTTTCCCGACGTTACTAGCTCTCGTACTATTAAAATAGTTTGATATTTAATGTTGTATGGATGATAATACTGAGATTTAAAAAAAATATATTTAGGACTGGCTTAGATGTGTAATTTTTAGTTGTCGCTCCATTTCGATAAGTATTTGAAATACCATATGATCGAAAAAAAAATGGTGTTAGAGATGGCTTGGCAAGTTAGTTTTAAAATATTGAATGTCATCATAACATACCAGTATATGATGAACGTTTTTTAAATCTTTTTTTATGTCTAAAGCTTCATTCATAACCTCCCAATTAGTGGTTTCAATTACACTTTATACTTTTTAGTTTACAATCATTCACAATGTCTAAAAAACACAATTAAAATCAATAAAATATCCTAGCAATAGCTCGTGGTAGTCTGTTGTATCCATAGAGGAAGCATAATATTTAGCTTATAAAACAATAAATTTTTGATTTCTAACCAAAATTTTTCTTGACGGGTGATAATTAAAGGCCAAAATGACATTCCTCGTAAATTTTGAGGTATACTTAGTGAAAAAGTCAAAAGTAACTTTTTTTACTAATTGAAAATTACTACCACTAATTATGACGTTCTGAATGCTTACATTAAAATTAGGTGAACAAACTTCCACGGCTAATTGAAACCAGAGTTGTTAAACTACACGTAGTAATTAATAAACTACATTTACTACATGTCACAAGTAGTTTTTTAAATGTCGAGTAGTAAATGTGTAGTTTTATGTAACTAATGTAGTTTTTTTTAAATAACAGTGAAAACATAACGTAAAAACTTTGTTTGTTGATCAATTTAAAGAAATAAAAAATCTATATTTTGTGAATATGTTCCTTATTATGGTACGTACACATTGGCACGCTGCGCCGCGAACGCGCGTCACGCGCGCACCTATTCGCCTATATTAGCACGTGTTTTGCGTCTCCGCGCGCAAACAGCTAGCGGCGAACCATCTCCAGTCGGTTTTTCGACGCTCCGCTTTGTTTGTTCGTTGTTCAGTTGGGACGGCCGGTGAAGACACCGCGCACATTCCGCGCGCATTTATCAGTGAGTTTATAGGTTCTGAGTGAAGCTTCACAGTAAAATTATTATTTAAACACATTTTTTTGTATTTAAAATATATATATATATATATATATATATATATATATATATATATATATATATATATATATATATATATATATATATATATATATATATATATATATATATATATATATATATATATATATATATATATATATATATATATATATATATATATATATATATATATATATATATATATATATATATATATATATATATATATATATATATATATCTATAATAATATGGAAATAAACTAACCTGTTGTCGGTTCGTCTAAATAAATTACTGGCGGATCTCCTATCAAAGCTATCGAAGTACTCAGCTTCCTTTTATTTCCTCCACTCAGCTCCTTAACTCTCTTGTCTAAATGCCGAAAATAGTCGAAGTCCGTAGCTAACTTCTCCGCTATAAGATTACAGTTTTCGTAGCGAATACCCCTGAGTAAGGAGACATTATTAACGTTTCTCTTGCCGTCATATCATCCAACAGAGCGTCGAACTGAGGACAGTAACCTATGAGCTTTTGAACGTCTTCCACGTGTCGTTTGATGCTCTTTCCGTTGACCTAAGCATCACCTTTCGATATCCTGATATCTCCAGTGAGCATCTTAAAGGTGGTGGTTTTCCCGGCACCGTTCACCCCCAACAATCCGAAGCATTCGTATTTTTTTATACCCAAGCATAGCCCGTTCACGGCCAAGAAGTTTCCGTAATACTTTGTCAAGTCTTGTACCACCATGGTGTAATTGTGGAACAGTTCCACTTGGGAACTGTTTTGGATTTTGACTTTTCGTTATGGACGTCGCTATCTTCGTCGGGTACGGGGTGTGGGTCTTTGGGAAAGTACTTTGTCTCACGAAGTAGGCGATTTGTGAGAATACCTTGTATTCGATTATTAGAATGATGGTGAGTAGTACGAAACCTACGGTGAAGGAATATACAAGGTTTCTTCCTATACCCGGAGATTTCCATTTGAAATAGTGTTCATCTAAATCTGAAAAAAGAGAGTTTGAGTAAGTTTGTTTCAACGAGAATGATTTTATATGTATAATACAGCTTGGTCTGAATTTTATTCGGGAAACTTCGGCAGTATTTTTTGCAGGTAAAAAAGTAACTCTAAAATGCTTGTTTTGAGATACAGGGTGTAGAAGTTTTATTTTTACTTCGATTTTTTACATGTATAAAATTGAACATCATCCACCAGAAATATCAACAATTATGAGTTGAATATTACAAAATATGACCATATTAAGCAAAATTTAAAGGCCTACAATTAACCTTGTTGATAAACATGATACTTCTTCCATGTATAGTAATGAACACACATAACTGGTTTACAGCTAGAGTTTTACTAAATCTGAAGGGTCTAGTCTGTATTAGACAATTACAAAAGGATAATCCATACATTTTAACAGTAGAATAATCTGATTTTTGTTAACTCTAAGCAGACTCTAAGAGTTTAGTCGAAATACCTGGAACTGGGACGGGCGATTGTTAGGTTAGAGCCTTTTTGATTTTTCTCTTCTTTACTTTTAAAGACGCATTTAGTATTAATTACGATTTACTGAATTTACCTAATATAGATTTTTTATTAATTAAAACTGGTATAGTTCAAATTATCAGAAAAAAATATTTTTTGGATATAGATTTCTGTATCCGGAAACTTACTATTGTCTTCTAGATTTTCTACATTTAGTATTCATTTTAATTAAAATTTAATTTTTTTGAAGATTTTTAAAGTGAAAAGAAGAAGAATTTTAATTAACTTTGAGCAGAGTTCGACCTCGTCAAAAATAGCATCGATAGTCATTCCCCAGCCGCCTTTGACGCCGTTTTTTCTCGATCATACGGTATATTTACTCATATCTTAGGATTGTATAAAGTGATCAGAAAGGAAGCCAAAAATGTAATAATATATAGGGTGTTCCATTAAAAAAACTTATACCGATCCACTCCACAACATTTTTTTGAGCCACTCTATAGAAGTTAAAATATTTTCCTGAAATACATCCTAGTACCGGGTGGCCAACTAAGAATGGACGCCGGCTATATCTCAGAAACTACTTATCATATAACTTTGGGAAAACAAATCTAATAAGTAAATAGACCAAGAGAAACCGCTGGAAATAATTTTAGTGCGAGAAATGCCCGCTAGGGGGCGTTTCTCTAATAGCCAATCAGAAAACAGGGTTTTTCTCAAAAATATGCAGGTGAACAGGTACTTTAAATATTACTATTGTACTCATCGAGAAATTTGTAATTTTTTTGATATAAAGTATTTTGCTGTATCTCATAAAATAAAGTGGTGGGGGAAGGTTAAACTTGCTTTTATTAAAATAAAGATAACTCTGGTTTGGGTTATGCAATTTAAACAAACTAGGGCTCGTTTGAAAGAGCTTTTCTTCCTTAATAATCTCCAGTATAAATTTTGTTTCCACAATTTTTTTCGTGGTAGCTAGAGGGCGCTGTTTGACATCATAACAGATATTGCGCTTTTGCGTAAAAAAATTAAATAGGAAGCTATATTTCTCTTTACACAGTTAAATAGAGCACAAAGTTTCCAAAATATCAGCACAAACCGCAACTTTCTTTCTTCTCTCTAACCGGAGATATTAAGAGAACAAATCATGTTAGGCTGCCGCTTAGGTTTATATAGTCTAAAAATTATAGTAGTAGGCTAGGACAACAAAAAGAGGTAAATTGGTTACGTCAAAATATCAAAACATATATTTTAATTTCATTTTAATACCGTTTAATTATTATCTATCCATGTTTCGTTCTTGATTCGATCCCATAAATTAAAACCCAGGCATATTGTATCCGATGACCGAGCTGGCCATGGAAATATGCCGCTCCAGCGTCTCTATCTACTAAAGTAAGGGGTATCCAAGAAGCCCCACACATTCATAGCAAAATAAGCGGCACCACTGCCTCAACTACACCAATGGCATTTATGCTGATGAAATTGCATTTGTTGCAATTTTGATGATGGATCCTCTAACAAAACTGGCAAATTATTTCTTAGAAATTATGGATAGCTCATTTCATTCAGATAATTAAAAAAGTCCAATCATTCGCCATCCTAGAATTCCTGCGTAAACATTTACCGATCAATGGTCTTGGGGTGCTAAACTACTTGCATCAAGGGTAGAATTGGAGCAGTAGTGCATATTGTTAAGATTCGCACCCTCGTTCGGTGCTATATGAAAAGTGACCCAAACGACATAAACTTTATAATATAATAATAAATAACACGAAAACAAGTGAAATCAAGGACGAACTTGGATTAATAACTAAATGACGTTATATGAATAAACCCCTAGTTTTCGACCCTACGAAATTCGGCGGTTTTTTCTGTTAAAAACAATATGGCGGCACAAAACTCCTAGAAATTTTAATAAAATTATTGATTCTCCGACTTTCGGACATTTTAATCTGAATCTACCTACGTATAATTAACCAAGAAATTGGTAAAAATTATATGGATGGATGATAATGTTACATAAACACGTTTAAATAATTATGACGTCATTTTTTTAAGAAAACGCCCGAAATTCGGATGCATGAAAACTGAACTTAAACGTTTTGATATTTTGACGTAACCAAATTACCACTTTTTGTTTCCTAGCCTACTACTATAATTTTTAGACCATATAATCCTAAGCGGCAGCCTAACATGATAGAAAGAGAGAAAGATAGAAAGTTGCGCTTTGCGCTGATATTTTGGAAATTGTGTGCTCTATTTAACTGTGCAAAGGAAAATATAGCCTCCTATCTAATTTTTTTACGCAAAAGCGCAATATCTGTTATAATGTCAAACAGCGCCCTCTAGCTACCACGAAAAAAATTGTGGTAACAAAATTTATACTGGAGATCATTAAGGAAGAAAAGCTCTTTTAAACGAGCCCTAGTTTGTTTAAATCGCGCAACCCAAACCAGAGTTATCCTTACGCAAGTTTAACATTCCCCCACCACTTTATTTTATGAGATAGAGCAAAATACTCTATATCAAAAAAAATACAAATTTATCGATGATTACAATAGTAATATTTAAAATACCTGTCCACCTGCATATTTTTGAGGAAAACCCTGTTTTCTGATTGGCTATTAGAGAAACGCCCCCCTAGCGGGCACTTTTCGAACTTGAAAGTAATATCCAGCGATTTCTCTTGGTCGATTTACCTATTCGAATTTTTTCCCAAAGTTATACGATAAGTAGTTTCTGAGATACAGCCGGCGTCCATTCTTAATTGGTCACCCGGTACATACCTACTTTAGGTTTGCACAAAATTCTCAAGTTTTTTATTCTAGAGACACATTATTGTCGGACCCTCTATATAAAAAATTCCAGAAAATAGTATATTATTTTATTAGGAGTAAAAATGACACTTATCATAGCGAGGCTGTACAATTGACACATACAGGCGAGCCACAAAAAGTCATTTTTACTCCGAATAGAACATGCTATTTTTTTTCAAACGCCACAAATATTTTTTTAAACAATTTCAAACGTTCCAAATAACATAAAAATATTTAAAATTCATCATCTCAAAAAATAATTACCCTGTATGTAATTGTATATCGAGAAATTATGGCTACGCTCGTTTAATTTGACACTTCAGACTGTCAGTTTAATAATATATTTTCGTACTTTTATGCTTAGGCGTAAAAGTGCTTTACTTTTATGCCAAGGCGTTAAAATGATTTTTTGATATTGTCAATCACGTCGCAAAAATTAATACTTCTGTGCCGTTTGAAAAAAAAAATATTTTTTTGAACAATTGTCATTGTCATATACTCTCTTTCGCTGGACAAACTATACTAATTAATTCAAATTTACCTGCACAGTAGGATTGTGCTCCGACATTATCTATGCACTCGTCATAGGAAATGTCTGGTGTAACTAATTGGCAGTTTGCGTAGAGTTCTTTGCAGATTTTGTTGTAAAAGTACAAAGTGTAAATATCACGAATCCCCGTTGCCAAAGAATAGTGTGGAACGGCCAGGAATATCCAGTTCAGTGTATTGCCGATATGTTCCAATCCTAGGTCGGGAGTTGACAGTACCTGGACTATTAGATAAGCAGCCACACCTAATTAAACATTAATAGTAAAAAATTTCGAAAATAATAACAAAAGTGAGCACCTTTGACTTGTCATTGCTAATACACTCATCGGCAAAAGTCATGCACCCCCAGATAAATTTATTTCTTTGCATAGCATATTGTTGTGGCTATGTGTACAAATACCTTAATATGTGTCACACTTTATATTAGTAACCTTAATTTTGTCAGAATTATTTATTTATTTTCTCTTTTTTGTCAAACATTTTTCTTTATGAAATTTGCATTTTTTGTATTTTGGCAAAATATATTATTAAACTTGGTGAAAGTTTTCCCTTTTTTGTGTTATTTTTTAACATAACTTTAGCATCTATTGATTTGCACGAAAAATTAGTTTGAAATGTAATTTTTTATTAAAATAGTAACGAGGTGCAAGACTTTTGCCGATGAGTTCTATGGTCGACGGGTCTAGATAGGAAGTGTTTTTGTCATAAATTACTTAAACCCACTTTCCAAATTCATAAACCGAAGTTTGATTATAAATTGCAGGAAGAATACAAACACAAAAAACAGGTCATAAAAAGCCTGTTAGGATTGTAACCATATAAAGCAAATAAAGGTGGTCAAAAGTAGAAGGAAATAATGAAAACCAAAGCGTCGTCATTGACAACCTTTTTTGTCAGTTTTGATTGACTATTTTCTTAACAATTTTTAAATTATAAGAATTTTAATTACGCGAGTTCTGCTTTTGGTGTTTCTTTTTAAATATATTTTATTTATTTTATAAGTAGTTGGCTAACTTTATATTATTCTTAAATATGAAATGTGAAGTAAAATGCTTAATTCCTTACACAGTAAGTTTCAATCGCATCCGTAGAAAATATAAAAATGCTGATTTTTATCTGTAACACTATTCATTGGTCATTTATTTCATTTTATATCTACCTGTAAAAATGCTGAATAAAGTCATCCTTGTATATCCTGTCGATGGTATATCGAAAAAGTATCCGGCAATATACATCATAGGCAGCATGCTCCAGCCAAAATACACCAAAGTAACAAATATCCTACCTAAAAACCGTATTGCTTAATTAATGGTTTAATTCCTTAACATCGTTTTTTATCTTAATGACTTTTGAATATTTAAAATTATAATTGTTAATATCTTAATCTATGCATAATTTCATGGTACACGATTCACCGTTAGTATTTATATGTCGTGTAATTTTTGAATGCCGTCTTTTCTCACTAGACAGACTTTATATTCACGGTAAATGTAAAATTTTAGTTACATTGTAAACATAATATAACGTATATATTTATGTAAACTGTTATACCGCTCTGGCGAGTCTTGGTATTGGGTCGGTATTTACATGTGTGGAAGAGAATCGCATAGGGATCTTATTAAGTCAGTGTGATAGAGATGCGTCCTTCCCTGGTCGAAAGACATTAATTTTTAGTCTAGAAGTCTAGAAGTTTTTATTTCGGAAAGATATGGGAATCTGAAATCGAGTTAAGAATATCGTTTTCCATTTTTTTCATAACAACAAAATGTCAATAATCGCGGTAATTTGAAAATTCAACTTTATTTTTTTTATTTTGAATTTTGGATCTTAGACAAGATGTTAAATGGAAAAAAAATTGATAGGCTTCTTTTTTTCCATTCAAAAATTAAAAAAAAAAACGTATCCATCAAGTTTTAGTGCATGGTATTTTCAGTAATCGTGTAACTTCTTTGTTTTTAAAGATTTTCACATATTGTGTGAAGAAAATATAGCAGAAACATTAATAATTTTTTTATTAAACCCTACAATCAATTATTTCTAATGGATTTCGAGATATCGATTTTTGAATTCAGAGTTCTCATAGCGCCGGCCACTGTCTAGTACCAACTTAATTCCACTTATTTTTACCAAAAGCACGGCATTTTAGAGTCGTTGTTTAGTTTCTAACTTGAATTTAGTAATTTACAAGCTATAACGAAAATTACAACAATTCGGTAATAAATAAACAATTAAGGTATAACGAGGCGTAATTAAATCGTGAAGTTGAAAGCATGATGTACGTACATCCTTCCCTAAAATTATAAGTAGATACTGGATTTAAATTTTAATTTTCTCTTTATGCGGCCTGACCGTGTTGTCATATCCCGTTCCACGTCTCAAGCAATGTGTACAGCTTCTCGGTTTATTTCATACGCTTGGCAAAGTTTTTACTCTTCTCTCTTTGTTCAGTACATTTTCAATGCACTGTGCTCTTCTTACAAACGGAAATATCGACCCATACTTAGACCTTACCAACCCTAATATAGGTACATTTTGACCAGTTTTATAAAAAATAATTCGCGGTCTACATAATTTGTAAATGTTTAACGCATATTTTAAATTTGTTTGTCATAATTCTATTTAGTGTCTACTTTTCAGTTTATTTTTTGATAACATTATGGTCAAAAAATCTAACCTATATCACTGGCAGTTTTAAATCCGTCCTCTTGGAAACACAGCAACGTGATGACCAAAGCCAGGGCAGTGATCAGGAATGTGACGAAATCCCATAAAAGAGTGCTCAGCCAAAAAACGTATCCCTTTACTCCAGAGACAAACTGTAGATGTTTCGAATTGCAGACTCGTTCTCGAACGATAAATAATATATAGAACGAAGATACGAAGGCCATACTAAAGCTTATGTTGAAAGCCAATTGGAAACCCATATTGTTTCCTAATGTTATTTGACTCATCTGAAAAAAAATATAAATAAATAAATGCCCTTATTGTCAAAAAATTTTACAATTTGTAGACAAAGGTAAAGTAAACAAACAAACAAACAAAAGAGAATACAAAACATTATACAAATAACTAATAAATAAAAAAACATTATACAAACTACTAATTAATTAATTAATCTATGCGAACAACACGAATTAAAGATCATGAACGGATACTTTGCACACAGGGACATTCACAAATTTACTTGGAGACAAGAAACAAGACACCTAAAATCAATTATTGACTACCTCATAGTGAAACAAAAAACTAATCTTAAAATTAATGATGTTAGAGCTTGCAGAGGTCCTGAGTGTGGAAGTGATCATTATTTAGTAAAAGGGGAGATAAGAATGCCATATAGGAGACAGAGAGAAAATATAAATGAAGCAACAAAAACTAGCTCGACCAATACAATTAAATATAATCTGAACAGTCTATACGATGAAAGTACTAAGAAATTATATCAACAAAGACTAGATCAAAAATTGAGAGATGATTTTGCAAATGAAACGACAGAAATGATATATGAACACATAAAATCGGCAATAAATGCAGCCGCTATGGAGGCATTGGGAGAACAAACAGCATGCAACAACAACAAAAAATTTTGGTGGAATAATAACTTACAGGAGCAGAAAAACCAAAAACAAAAATTGTACTTCAAATGGCTACAAACTAAACAAGATGCGGATTACTTAGCTTATAAACACCAAAGAGCAAAATTTAAGAAGATAATTTTGGAAGAGAAGAATAACCAATGGGAAAAACGACGCCAAGAGTTAGAAAGCTACATAGGAGGAAGATGAACATCAGAATCGTGGAAATTCATAAATTCCATTCGAAATAATAAGAAGACCAAGCTAAAACTTAGAAGATAGCTGGAAGGAATATTTCGAAAAAATGTTAAATGAACACAGAAATGAATATAAATTACAACCAGAAGAACTACCATTTAATTTAGAAGGTGAAAAAATTAATATCGAATTAAAAACGGCAATTACCCAACTTAAAAATAAAAGATCAGCCGGCCCAGGAGGAATCCCCAATGAATTAATAAAATTTTGCACACCAAAACTTCACAATATTATTAAAACACTCTTTGAAAATTGTATCAATGGTCAACAAATACCACAGGAATGGAACGAAGGATGGATAACTCCAATACACAAAAAAGGCGCAATTAACATATGTGAGAATTATAGAGGTATTTCTGTTAACTGTTCATTGTATAGACTCTATGGCAAAATACTTAGCACATTAATAACAAATGACTATGATTTGTACCAGACAGAAGAGCAGTCGGGTTTCAGAGCCGGTCGCTCAACGGTAGATAATATTTTCTGCATAACACAACTGAGTGAAAAAGTGTTAGCTATAGGTGGAGAGATACACATGATTTTTGTAGACCTAACCAAAGCGTATGATTCTATCCCAATAAAACAACTTTTTCACGTACTCAACCGGTCACCAATAAATATTACCCTAATAAAAGCAATAAAGGAAATCTACAAGAACCCGCTAGCACGAGTTAAAATTGGAGCCGAACTCACAACATCATTTAATATAAGTAAGGGCCTTCGACAAGGATGTGGTCTATCTCCAATTTTATTCAATATTTACTTAGATGCAGCATTGGAACAATGGAGACGAAAATGTAGTGGAATGGGCATACCACTCGAAAATAAAACAATATATACCATTCACTACGCCGACGATCAAGTAATACGATGTATATGACATTGAGTACATGTTTAGAAAATTAAATGAGGAGTATGATAGATGGGGTTTACAAATAAATTTAAAAAAGACAGAATATCTATGCGTGGGCAACAAAGGACAAGACCTAAAAATGGAAAACGGAAACAAAATAAAATCATGTACAGAATTCACATACCTAGGTACTAACATACATAATAATGAAAAAAGCGACAATACCATCAATAAACATTAGACCAGTGTTTACAAGATCAAATTCGATTATCAAAATATAAGTCATTTACGGCGTAGAAAGCCTTGTCTAGTAAATAAGATTTCAATGCTTTGCGAAATGAAGAAAATGATGTTATGGATTTGATTTCAAATGATAGGTGATCGTGCATTTTTTTCGAGTTGTATAATATTGAACTTTTAACTAACTCTGAGCGTGGGGTAGGTAGATAAAGATCTTGCTTCGCGTTCCTGAGTGGATAAGTGTGAAATGGCCGTTCTTGAGAAGCTGATACATGCTTACGTATTATGCAAAACGGATTCAAATATAAATAAAGAAGGAAGAGTTATTATTTTTAATTTTTTAAAAAAGTCCTGGCAATGAGTTCTGCTCTTTAATCCCATTGAATATTGAACAGCTCCCTTCTGGAGCTTAAAAATGCGGTCAAATTGAGTCGCACAACACGTACCGCAGAATGGAAGGGCATACCTGAGGTGCGACTCAAAAAGTGCATAATAAACAGTAAAATTAGTATTACCCGTTAATTAATAACAAATAGAATTTGTTGAATATTTTCTTTTATTAGAGAAAAAGGTTATACTTACTCTTGACTGTGCATTGTAAGGCATAGGGTGGTTGAAAAACCGAATACCACTATCACTGTTCAGTGCTTTCTTAAACATGGTGTCTAGTGCTAGTCCTAGCGTAACTCCGGGAGTGTGGTATGGGTCGTTGTTAAAATAGGCAGTGAAATTAACGTCAAATATTTGACTAAGACTATTGCTGCTGTCAATTGCTTCGAAGCCTGCTCCTACAACGTAGGTTCTTCTAGCTGTAACTGGTGTTCTTGCTGTCTATAAATATAATGAAAAAAATATGTCTCTTACAACAACAAATTTTATTTTGTATATATACACTATACTGGGTGTCTCAGAAATAAGTGCAAGTATTTTAATTGGTAGTATATCTCGACCCTAGAATCACCCAAGAATTGTTGAATTTTATATTTTTCTTGAAATTTTCTGGGAAATTTTAAAAAACTTTTTAGTGCCACTTGTTTATTCACCTGAGATTTCTCAACGGTGTATCTAATCCTTGCAGTGTTGCCATCTCCTACATTATCCGTATTCAACATATTTTTATGGGCTATAATTTTACATTTCTACACAAAAAATTGCAAATTTATTAACTGAGTAATAATTTTAATCATATCAGTGTCTATTGCTAATAATTCTAGAAACAAGTAGTGTGTTTCTAACAAACTAATTTGTTAGAAATTAAGACTGGTACTTTAGTAATTATTATAACATGCATTCAAGAAATGCAATGAAGTGAACTGCATGTGTATTTTAATTAAGTATAGTATTGTGATAAAACGATTGTCACTGTTATTACCCCAATTATTCTTTTTTATGTTGTGGGTAAGTTTTTTTAATTTTTGTTTTTGATAATTAACACAACTTTAAAAAAAAATACGTACGTCTGCAAAACACTTCGGATGGTGTGGAGTTTTGCGATTTGTTTTTGCATATACTTCTTGGGCCATCTGGCAACACAGGGCGTCTAAATAAGCTGAACAGCCGGTTATCGCCGGCGGTTCTCAAAATGTTGGATTTTATTTATTTTCAAAGTTAAATAACTTTGTTATTTTCAATTTATTTTAAAAATGATAAAGAGAAAATATGTTAACATAAAATGTTAACATGTTAAAAATGAAAATATGTTAACAACACGCTTTAAAATATTTGCACTTACTTCACAAAACGGGTTTATTACCAGTTCAACTCATAGGTTTCCGACATACAGCCGAGGTACGAAGAGTCATTTTTACTCCGAATAGAACATGCTCTTTTTTTCAAACGGCACAAATACTTTTTTAAACAATTTCAAACCTTTCAAATAATATAAAAAGATTTAAAAGTCATACCTTGTATGTAATTATATATCGAGAAACTGTGGTTACGCTTGTTGAATTTAACACTTTATGTCAGTTTAATATTTTCCTACTTTTATGCTTAGGCGTAAAAGTGCTTTACTTTTATGCCTAGGTGTTAATAGTTATTTTTTATACAAGACGATAAAATGGTATTTTATCGTCGACCGAAAAGACTCGCGATTTTATCGCTCGTGAATTAATTTCGGGAGACGATAATGCAATTTTATCGTCGTGTATAAAACAGTTACGTTTTAAAAAAATATTCAGAAATTATTATTTCAAGGAATTTATTACGAGTAGAAAAAGTATTGTGCTGGGTTGGCGTTGGTTTTTATGTAATCTGACAAATAAATAATGCTGTCTCTTTAGTTGTCAGTTTTGAGTCAATATTTTTTAATTCTTTTTCGTGTCGAATGCTGATTGAATTGGAGCCAGAAATGGCTCAAAACGATATAAGTAATTTACCAACAGATATTCAGACTGAGGCGACAAACGTCATATCCAAACTACTTCCATTTAAATCCCGAATAACATATGAAAAGGAATACAAAAATTTTCAAAAATGGAAGCAATTAAAAAACGTGCGAGAAGAAATAAAGTTTTTAACCTATCCTGGCTGTTAAAGTATCATTTAATCTACCCTTGCGGTTAAAGTACTATTTTATCTACTATTTTTGATAGATATAAGGCAATTTTAACAGTTACTATGGAAAAAAATTATTTTTTTTATATTGTCTCAAAAAATAATACTTTTGTGACGTTTGAAAAAAAATAATTTTATACATTCGTAAACCCATAAAACTTACTAAATCGAGCATGGTCGAGGTAATGTTGTCCACTTTCTCGTACACAGACCCTACGACATTCTCATATTGCTGGACGTATTCATCGTTTCCGCTATACTCCATTAGAACAGTAGGATTGTCGAATCTGTCCAAGGTAAGGGGCATCGCAGGGAGGTCGCCAAAGTTTGATTGCTGACGCACGACGACTATGGCGATTATCAGAAAAATGACCGGCATAAAAATCTGGATGGCCAGGAGAATCCAGGATCTGTAGGTCGACAAGATTTTCTTCATTGTCATCGCCATGAATTGATTGAGGAAGAAGTCGAAGGATGTGATTGGTTTCGGAGCTAGATCAATATCAACTGAAAGAAATATTTAAAAATTATCAAATCAAAATGTATCAGAGCTAATAGAGGGTAGAGTAGTAAACCTGTGATGATTTTTTTATTGGCTCTGTAAATAACTTATGAGTGTGAATTTTAACCTTTTTGATAATTTTCGAGTTTATGTTATTATTATTAATGTTATGAAGTGATTCTTTTCACAGTTAACTTGTCCGTGATTTACTGCTACTGTTAAACGTCGGTTGCAGCTTCAAGGCATTGCTAAACGATATTTTTAATACCAAATGCCAATAATATAATAAAATTCCTGTTTCTCTTTTCTTTTAATTAAATAAAGTTTGGTTATATGTAAACAAACTAAGCTATACCAACTAAACTTTTAGTTACGTAATCGAGGGCACGATTTTTGACTTCATTGTGGCCAACCATAGTTAACGAGCTGACTAACTAGAATTTAAATTTTCCGCTGGGGATTCAGGTGGTAGCTCTGGTGTAGAAAATGACAAATTGCCACATTTGTTTATTTATTTCCTGACACTGTCATTGGTTTTGACACTTTAGTTTTGTATTACGGGCTTTTGGTTTAAATGAATTGTGTTGTGATACTTTAAGTTTAAATATTTTTACTAGTAAACCTTGCAGTCAAACATTGTTCATTTTAGAACCTCTTTTAGTGCGAAGTGTACAAGATAACTTAACAGCCGTAAAAAACTCATCGCAACTTTATTAGAATATTTTGAACGGGAAAGCGATAGTAATGACCCATTATGTCCTTTAAGTGCTGTTAAGGAGGTGAGTTTTGTTGATGTTAATAATAACTGTTTATATATTTATAATTAATTTATTTTTGTTTCCTAAAATATTTTGATTAAAATAAAATATGTAAAAGTGGGCAACACTGTGCTTGTCAAGCTTAATCACGTCATTAAAAGTTTATTTGGTATGATCTATAGAACATTATGTTATCTGTGACGGTATATTTATTTTTAAGAAAATGTGAATCACAATATTTTCAATTATGAAACTAATCTTTTTAGAAAATATAGATAGCTTTCTAAAATGTCTGTAACTTCATTTAGAACTTGTGACTATAGATCAAAGACTTTATTTAGAACTTTATTTAGACTTTGTAGAACTAGAAACTATATTTACAACTTGTGGCTATAGATTTTTATTATAAAATTATATAAGAGTTTCTTGCCTTGAACTGCTAATATAGAAATTAATTCCATGCTGTGTTCGACATAATGTGGATCAACCTGCACTCACTACCGGTTTCGGGGCCCTACCCCATCATCTTGGGTCGTTTCCACAAAATGTCAAGCACAGCGCAGAGTATATAAATACGACTTGTCGTAAAGTAGCGGTAAGATATTAAGTTCCGCATCGCGAGATAGCGGCCTGCGTGCAATGATAGTACTTTCGTACCACCGAGGCACAACTATCGATTTTAGAATTAGAATAAGTGGGAGGGGGGTTAATCTCTGCGACCTTAGAGATCTATTGTGTCCCCCTTTTTTGAGTTATAACTCATCATAGAGTCCCAGGACTTCTTACGGAGACCCGTGTCCCCCACAGTCGAGGAGCTACGACCCAGGCCGGGTAGACGAAACGGTAGCTTGTGTCGCCTGTTGGGTTTAGAGGTAGGAGGTAGGCTCCCGACCCTTGGAGGTGGTAGCATGTATGCCACTTGCGGAGGATGGTCTCACGCAAGTGTCAGCCACCTCTCCTGTAGTTCTCTTTGGGTTTGGCTTCTTGGAACTTTCATTATTACTGTTCTCAGTGTCGCTAGGGGGTTTCCCCACAGCTTCACCGGTGATGTTTTTATTACTATTATTACCAGATCTCATAGTATTCCTATGAGTCGCTAGGGACAGTCGGTCCACTTCTACAGAGCCCCGCATGTAGAAGTAAGGGGTAAAATACAATGGGGTGCCCCCCGGTGCCCCAAGGTTGAGGCTGTCCGTAGCCCCGCCCGGTATCGTTATATGTCTTGGTGCAATTCCCTGGCCACGACACTACAGTCAGAGACAAGACGACGAGTGAGATGCTTCTTAGTCCAAGCCAAGTGCTAGAGGGGATTCCCCCCAGCACCTGACCAGGAGCTTCCCCACCAACGACAAGGTCTTGCATCTCCTAGGGGAACAACTATCGATAGTAAATAAAGGCTTTTTTCGGCTAGCCCAAATTATATAATGGAAAATAATTTTTTTGCAGTTTTTAGGTATATAATAAAATTATATAAGAGTCTTGCCTTGAACTAATATCTTACCGCTACTTTACGACAAGTCGTATTTATATACTCTGTGCTGTGCTCGACATTTTGTGAAAACGACCCAAGCTCACCTGATGATGGAGTAGGGCCCCGAAACCGGTAGTGAGAGCAGGTTGATCCACATTAAGTCGAACACAGCATGGAATTAATTTCTATATTAGCAGTTCAAGGCAAGAAACTCTTATATAATTTTATTATATACCTAAAAACTGCAAGAAATTTATTTTCCATTATATGATTTTTATTATTATATATTGCACAAATATAGAAGATTATCCAATAATTCAAGTTCATATGTCACTATTACTGTCAAGAACCTTAGCGAACGGTTAAAAGTTAATACCAAAATTGTATTTATACACGTACTAGGAAATATTTTTTTATTTGAATACAAAATATCTTAGGCTAACCTTTTGTCTGAGGATTCTCCAAATGAATTTTTCCATTTAATTCTTTTTCGCTTGAATTATATAGTTCTTCTTGCCCATGATCAGCTCCTACTCTAAACAGATAAAATATAATTATTAGTGTTATTATGAACCGAGTTGTTATTTAAGTAAATTTACTTCATGAAAACTTCTTCCAAGGTTGTTAATGAAATCCCATAACTATTGATACCGAGCTGCCTACTGTGATCTTCTAAGTCTTTCAGCATTTTCTCGAAAATGTAAGACTGGCTTTCTACTAGAAGATATGTAAGTTCCGACCCGATGTTAGTGTGAATCTAAAATATTAAAAACATTTTTTAGGTTTCAGAGAATTTAGGTTGTATTCGAAGCTGTAACAAGTGAGTTTTAAAAAGACTTAAGACGTCTTAAGTCATTTCTAAAATCAAAATTATTTAAGTCTTAAGTCAAATTCAACATAAAGTTTAAATGGCTTAAGTTTAAGTCTTTGACTAGTCATTTTTGTAAAGACTTAAATCAATATAACGTTATTTAAGTCGTTTTCATGACTTAGTCTATATTTTTGACTTAAATCGTGATGATCTGCAAGTTAAATTAGTAGAATGATTTAAATCAATATAATTACCGTCAACTCAGGGCAACAAGCATTCAATTTAAGTACCTTTTTTAAATGTTAATATTAATTTTCTTGTATTACCAATTAAGCGATTTTCTAATTAAGTATCATATTATTAATTTATTATAGATACACATAAGACTAAAACCACATAAAATAAAACGGTTAATTTTCAGAACCACTACAAATACAAAAATATGTTGTGTGTAAAAATGTTTTTTTATAAAATTTAACCGATTTTGTAGTAATTTATACGTATCTATTACAGATAGATGTCATCGAATACCGTGGTTTTATTTTAACTGTAAATATAGGGCTTAACACAGTGAAATGCTATTTTGCTAAGTATGTTCATTTTTAAAGCGAAACAGTCAATGCATTGGATTTGTATGAATAGTATGCAACCAATACAAATACTATTTTTTGTTTTAAAATATTTTTTCTACAAACGTCAGTAAAAATGTAATTTTTAACGCATGCTGTCAGTGCCTCAAATGTGACATTACGTCACTGATGGTAAAAGTCATTTACTTTTAGCACTGGTGCTAAAAGTAAGTCACGTGATTTACTTTTAACACTGAAGCGATAACAATTACCCTAGCATCCATAAACTTCATAATTAATTTGATTTCAGAATATATTATGAATTATTCATTAACGTAAAAAGTAATAATACCTTGATATATACGAGCAATATAATAATAAACTTGTTTGTAGAAAAAATAGTGTATGATATGTGTGCTAAAAGTGCTTTTATTTTGTTCGAAGGGAAGGGATATTCCGCTTTCGGCGTCGTGTCCCAAGCTTCCCTTCTCACAAAATAAAATACCACTTTTAGCACTTATATCTAACAATAGTTCTAGCTCAAAAAATACCAAAAACTCGATGAATTTCGATGAAAAAAAAATATTTTGAATTCCATTTTATGTATTTTTCGGCACAAAAAAAAACAGTATTGCCTATTTTTATTATTGCCTGTATTTCATCAATGGATGATAAAAGGTTTGTTATGGATTGATAACCGGAGAGTGATTTACAAATTACAATGATTGACGCCTATGTTCACAGTTAAATAAAAGCACTGTACAGGGTGGCGCCTCTCATACGCCGCGGAGACTCCAAGGAGAACGATAGTTTGTATTGAAATGAAATTTTGTAAGCATATGTAGGTTAATTGAGAGCACTTTTTAAAAATATAGAGAGTTCTACAGGGTGTCCCCAAAAAAAGTTACATATCAAAATTGTGTTTTTTTGTAAAGGAACACCCTATATATTAATTGATTTTCGAATTCTGGGAGAAAAATAAAGGTGAGTTTTATAAGAGAAGTATATGACTAAAATTTAAGGTTTTTGACATATTTAACATTTTCTAGAAATAAAAAACAATTTTTAAATTACAATAAAAGCTACCTAAATTGGAATTTAACCGGTATAGCCTAATATGTAGTTAAATTAACTATCGAATTAAAACTCGATCCAAAAAATTATACAGAGTGAGACAAAATTAATATTGAACATTGGTCACCTTTAAAAACATGTCACTCTTTTATTTTAAATGGAACACCCAGTATATTATTCCGATATTCAATGGAGAATTCATGTTTCTTCAAAATACTATTAAGGTTGCCTACCCCTCAAACAAAGATTTTCCTAGATATTTTCATTTACATGATTTGATCTGAGTAGATCTTTATTATTTGATAAAATCTAGGTGGCTGCGATATGTCTGACGTTACTTCGACATAGCTGTCTAATTAGTCCAACTTTAACAACTAGTTATTATTTTGTGTCAACTACAAAAAAAAACAAAAAAAATTCTCAGAAATTTGTCGAAAATGTAAACTTATCCTACATCAGAAAGAATGGATATGATTCTATTAATTGGTGAATAGATTGTGCATTCACCAATTATAGAATACTTAAATGCTCTTGATTTTATCTGGTCTGTTTTTTTACGGGGATATGTTAAAGACAGTGTTTACAAAACTCGACCAACTATTGTCTACAACATCAGAGAAATTATTGTAGCTGCTTTTCGAGGTAGAACTCCACATATGTCTTTTAAAATGAAAATACCCTTTTGAAAAGACAATCATTTTATGATTGTTTTTTGGAAATGACTTAAATCTTTTATAAACAGACTTAAATTTTTTGTACAAAGAGGAAGTCTTGACCGATCAATTATAACAAAAACTTAGAAGAAAATTCTTGGGGATAGAAAATAATCAAGTAAAAAAAAGGAAATAAAATTTCCGAAAGCTTGGTGTATGTAAAAAATTGTTTAATTTTTGCCTTCAGACCGCTATCCCCACGAATTTTCTTCTAAGTTTTTGTTAAATTTTGATTAGTTTAAGACTTTTCTAAAAGGAATTAAATTCTTTTCTATTTCGGAATAAAGATTTAAATCACAAGTCATTTTGAAAAAGACTTAAATTTTAAGTCTTAAGTCAGCTTTAAAAAAACAACTTAAAACAAAGTGCCCTAAGTCATTAAAATGATTTAAATAAAAAAAGCTTAAGTTTTCTGTGAGCTTGCAGCTCTGCGTGTATTTCGATCATATAGTATATTGTTGTTTATAAACAGTAATTCCTCCTTTGAAATTTCTTTGTTCTTTACATTTAATTGAAATTCCTCTTAAAATATATTAATAAAACATTTACTTGATATATGTATAAAACATACTTACGGAAATTCCAGGAATGTGTCTTCTTAAAAGTTGAGTTACATTATTGGGGTCGCACTGAATCGACTTGTCCATTATAAGATGGTATCCAGCTCCGTATTTCTTTTTCAAGAAGAAACTGGTACCACAACACTGCAGTTCCCCACCGGCCATGATAGCTATACGGTCACCTAGTAGGTCAGCCTCATCCATAAAATGCGTGGTTAGTAATAAGGTCCTGCCTAGAAAATACAAAAAAAAATAATTAAATTAAAATATAGGTAGTACCATGCGATCGAGAAAAAACGGCGCCACCGTCGCCTTTCGAATGGTAATTTTATTGGTAATAATTTTCATTAGGGGGTCATTTTTTTTCTGAACACTTTAAACATAAATCGACTGTTATTCTTGAGATAACCGATCTTATCCGGCCTCTAACCAGTGTGAAAACGTAGAATATTTTAATAGGTTCTACACTCTTAATATTAAGTTTACAAGATACCGAAGCAGCTTAACAGCCGTTGCATAAACCTCATCGCAACCTTATTAGAATATTTTGAATGGAAAAGCTGTAGTAATGGCCCTTTATGTCCCTTAAATGCTGTTAAAAAGGTGAGTTTTGTAAATAATAACTGTTTATATATTTATAATTAATTTATTTTTGTTTCCTAAAATATTTTGATTAAAAGAAAATATACAGGGTGGCGCACCTCATTCGCCTCGGTTGATTATACGAAAACGGAAAGATGTAGAAACAAAATATTTTATGGGCATATGTAGGGAGGTAATGTGGACAATTTAAAATTATTTTGAAATGTACAGTGTGTTTCAGAACTAAGATCCATACCAAAGTTATATTTTTTCTTATGGAACACCCAGTATTTTATTTCATTTTTGGATTTTTGGGCCCAAAAAAAGGTATTTATTATAAGGCTTAAATATGTTTAAAATCTTTGGTTTTTGAGATATTTAAATTTTCATGCCACAATAGAATAGATTATTAACACCCTGTACATTACTTTTCAGAATTAATTCTTGTGCTGAGTTTAAAAGTAAATAATTACAGAAAAATGTTATTCCTCCCTTAAATGTATACAGGGGTATCAAAAATTGCTGGTTCATTTTAAATATTTATTTTACGTAAAAACTTCGTTATTTCAAATGCAACACTATGTATTTTTTAATAAGTCGAAGCAGATTTAAATGCTCTTTCAAACTATATTAGGCTTTTCTATACCTATTTGGCTCAGATTTTGAATAAAAAGCGATTTTTCAATAAAATTGTAATCAAGATGGCTAGTGTTGTCATGGCAAGTTTCTAGTGACAGTGAGTAGCTATTTACAAAATTGAAATTAGTTTATGGACTTATTTAAATTTATACCAGTTTACTTTTATTTAATTTACCTACAATAGTTTAATAAATAATATTTATTAAATATGTATTTATTATGTTTGTTCCAACCGGACGAGAGAACCGTCCTAGAACGGTAATTTCCTATCAGTCAATTCATTTGTTAATCTTGACAAACGATCAAACTTTTCAAACAATAAGTGGGCGACTACAAATTACCGTCCCAGGATCGGTTCTCGGTCCGGTTGGAACGAACCTATTAAAAAATGTCTATACCTATGTGGCGGATTCATCTATCCAAAAAAATCCTTATGGGTTTTTCGCCACTGCACTGCAAGAAAAATCTACAAAATAAAATAGTTATTTTTTGTAAACACTTCTGCGTTAAACCTAAACGGACGCTGCTTGTCAGAAGTTGTGTTTATGGGGTTAAGATCCGGAGACTGTGAGGGCTAATCCATTAGTGGAACATTATGTTCATTTAACCAATTTTGAACAAACCGAGATTTGTGCTTGGGATCATTGTCTTGCTGGAACAACCATCTGAGTGGCATTTCTTCATCAGCATGAGGCAACATATTAATCTCCAATATGTCTTTGTACAAAAAACGGTCCATTTTCCATCATCAATTTCAACAAGAGGACCAACACCTGAGCGAGAAAAACACCCCCATACCATTATACTCCCACCCCCATGTTTTACTGTGGGCAGCTGGTACTTATGGCTGTACCGTGTACCTTTTGGTCTTCGGACATAACGTCTCCCGTCACTACCAAACAGTTGAAACTTACTTTCGTCGCTAAACAGTACAGTATTCCATTTCTGATAAGACCAGGTGAGATGATCTTGAGCAAATTTAAAGCGGGCCATCCTATTTTTCTTTGATATTAGTGGTTTCTTCACCGCAACTCTTCCAAAAAGTCCCATGTCAAACAACTTTCTTCTCACCGTGCGTGCAGACACCGATATTCCCCTTTCACCCATTTCTCGAGAAATGTCTGTGGATGTTTTTCTTGGATCTCCTTAAAAGCTGTTGAAACGTTCCCTGTTTTATTAAATTTACGAATTATTTTCGAAACGGTGCCTTTTAAAATGTTTAAATTTTTACTTATTTGAATTTGTTTATAACCGCTCTTGTATAATTCAACTATTTTATTTTTTAAATCCGTAGAGAAATATTTAGACTTGGGCATGATGTTTATATTTATCTGTAGCAAATCAAAACCATTTATCAGCTTAAACTAAATAATTTTAATGTATTTATTTATGGTTTCCATACTTTTGGCCACAAGAAATCTATTGTTCTCCTACAAAAACTGCTAAACAGATTTTTTTCGCTGTGTAATTTTTGGAATACTTTTATTTGCTGATAAGCTGTTCATTTATATTCCTGAGAGTTTAAGCGTAGCAATATTTTCTGTGATATTTTAAAAAGTAAAAAGTTTCCATACTTTTGGCCACAACTGTATGTTCAAAAGACTAAACTGGGAGGAAATGGGCATTAATGTTAACGGGGAAATGCTCAATAACCTGCGTTTTGCTGATGACTTGGTGCTGATTACAGACAAAATACACGAAGCTCAAAATATGCTAAAAACACTTAAACGGGCGTCAGATCAGATCAAATTGGACTACGCATAAATTATTCAAAAACCAAACTAATGACTAATCTTGTTATTAGTGGAAATGTCTCGGTAGACGGAGCAAATATAGAACAAGTAAATTCATATAAATATCTGGGGCACGAAATAACAATTGGCCGCGATAACCAGACGCACGAGATACAAAGAAGAGTAGGACTAACATGGGCAGCGTTCGGCAAACTAAGATATGTGTTAAAATTAGATCTACCAATGTGCTTAAAGAGGAAGGTGTTCCATCAGTGCGTTATGCCAGTACTTACATATGGCGCAGAGACACTTACACTGACGAAAAAGTCCATAGAAAAAATCCGTGTAGCCCAACGAGCTATGGAAAGAGCAATGCTTGGTGTATCTCTAAGAGACAAGATACCCAGTACAGTTATAAAACAGCGTACACGAATAACAGATGCTATATATCTGCTTAAAAAACTCAAATGGAACTGGGCTGGGCATATTGCCAGAAGAACGGATGATAGATGGACCAAGCTAATACTAGAATTGCGGCCAAGACAAGATGCTCTCAGAAACAGAGGCAGACCTCCGACAAGATGGTCAGATGACTTGAAGAGATTTAGGGGAAACTGGATCCAAGTGGCACAGGACCGAGAAGAGTGGAAAGATTTGAGGGAGGCCTACGTTCAGCAGTGGACACTTCAGGCTGGTTCATGATGATGATGATAGAACATTATGTTATCTGCGACGGTATACAGGGTGCTACAAATTCGGGGTACGAGCATTGGTATCTCAGAAACCGTAATAGACACAAAGATGGTTAAATTGGCGCAATGTTGCGTTTTGGGATGGTCACCAAGATGCCATCAAAAAAGCTTTAAATATATCAAGGATCGCTGAGTTTTTTGGAATAAACGGATTTTTTTGAAAATCAACTTTATTTTTTCCTGTCGTTAGTTTATAGAAAATCAAAAAAACTAGTTGAACATTCTCATAGCCACTTTATTAGGATTATCTGACAGTATTTTTCGATTTTCAAATTAGTTGATAATTTGTGAGATACAGAGGCCAACTCAATTTTTTTAAATACGAACCTGCATTTTTTATTTCAGGTTTTGAAAGAACTCGGTCTCCTGAATAAAATGATATGCAACACTTCCTTGCAATATTTAAAACATTTTTGATGGCATCTTGGTGAACATCCCAAACCGCAACTTTGTCCCAATTTAACCATCTTTGTATCTATTACGGTTTCTGAGATACCAATGCTCGTACCCCAAATTTGTAACACCCTGTATATATTTTTAAGGAAGTGTGTATCACCACATTTTCAATTATGAAACTAATCTTTTAAGAAAATCTAGATACCCAACCCAACCCTTTATGCCCCTTAAGTGCGGTTAGCGAGGCGAGTTTTGTTGATGTAAATGATAACTGTTTATATATTTATAATTAATTTATTTTTGTTTCGTAAAATATTTTGATTAAAAGAAAACATCTAAAAATCTGCAACGCTGGCGCTGCAGCTGTGCCGGTAAGGTTAATCACACGACTAAAAGTTTATTTGGTATGATCTATACCTGATTTTTGTTTGAGTAATAAGTCCCACAAAGCTCTTCTCGCTGAAGGATCCATTCCAGCTGTGGGTTCGTCCAGCATCACTACTTTGGAGTTACCGCATAGTGCAACACCGACACAAAGTTTTCGCTTCATGCCTCCAGATAACGTACTTGATTTCTTGTCTCTCTAAAATATTAATATCCAAGCTTAATAGATTTGTATTTTCTAAACATTGCTTAGATCTTAAGGCTGGTTCAGACGCAGCCAGCAGTTTAGTCAAGTGGTCGAGTAATTTAGTAACTTGACCCGTGTGAACACATTTGTTTTAGTCGAGCTCACTGGCAGTCGAGTAGCACGGTCGAGTTTAGTAAATAGAACTCTATTCTATTTTCTTGGTCAAGTAGCAACTCCCACTACACAGAAACGCCAATACCGCGCCAACTAAACACGTCTGGATAGACCGGGAGAGTAGTGTAGTCGCTTCGTTTATAGTTGAAGGATCACTGAGATTTTATTTGTGGTGAATATTTTATTCATGATTAATATGACAAAATGGGGGAAGATACTACTTTAAAATTCGTTCAAGAATATGTTAAAGCACTTAGCAAATGTTAAAGCACTTAGCTTGCCTGTGGGATGTTCCAAACGAATTGTTCAAAAATAAACAAAAACGGCAAGCAGCATACTTAAAAATGCAAAAAGCGATGGCAATAGAAGGTTTTCGCCAAAAAGAAATTTTAGCAGCGACACTCGACTTGTACTAAATAACGCGTCTAAACAAATGGCTAAAATATAAAGACGCTGTTTTTACTCGACTTGATTAAATAAACTCTACTAATTTACTTGACCCGTGTGAACAGACAACACACTTGACTAAATTACTTTACTCTACTAAACTACTGGCTGCGTCTGAACCAGGCTTTAGCCAAAGACAATTTAACTTAAGTCGAAACAGTTTTTTCCTTTAAAATATTAATACATTTCACATATTATTAAAGTAACGGAAAGAACTAACAAATATACAAATTAAGGAAAACTATCCATTAATTGTTTCTAGGATTACTTAAGTTTATTTTTTGCATTTTACTGAAATTTGGTTTAATAGCATATTAGTTAGTCGTGTTCAGAAAGTATCTAGAAAAAAAAAACGAAATACACACACCGGAAAAGTCTAGGGATATTACTATTTTATCCAGCCATCGTCAGTATTTTTATTATTTGCATTTCTGATATAATAAAATTAAAATAAACAAATAGTTTACAGGACGTATTGGAAATAAAAATGCGAAATTTACCGAATTTTTCAAATTTACCTTGATTTTTATTGAACTCAAAAAATACACACATTTTTTTTAATTCTAAACTGTGAATTAAAAAAAAAGATAAAACCATTTTTACTTAATAAAGGGTATGGCCTCCTCTACTGTTCATTACAGCCCTACATCGTCTCTCCATGCTCGTGATCAGGTTGTCGATCTCTTCTTGAGGTACAGCCTGCCACGCTGCATTCACGGCCCGAACCAGTTCCCTACGAGTTTCACGAGGCATACCCATTCTCAAAATTCTTCTTTGGATCCCGTCCCATACGTGTTCGATGGGGTTGAGGTCAGGAGATTGTGCCGGCCAGGGTAAGATGTTTGATTGATGAGCATTGATAAACTCACTTACCACTCTGGCTGTATGAGGCCGTGCATTGTCATGCATGAGAATGAAGTTTCTCCCAAAATCATTGGCATATGGTAACTCGACAGGCTCAAGAATTAAATCACGATATGTGATTCCCGTTAGAAACCTTTCAAGAAAAACGAGATCGGTTTTTCGGCCTAACTGGACTCCTCCCCAGACCATAACTGTTCCACCTTGATAAGGGTGCACTTCCTGAACATGATCCAACCGAATAAGATTTCCCGGTTCTCTCCATACCCTAAGCTTTCTCGGATCGGGATGAATTCCAAGGCGTGACTCATCCGTGAAGAGAACATTGGCCCATTGTTCATTCGACCACTGAACATGATCTTGAGCCCACAAATATCGTACCTTTCGATTTCCTCTCGTTAAGGGTTGAGCTCTCCAGGGGCGTCTGCTTCTTAAGTTGACTTCTCTTAATCTATTGCGAACAGTGTCAGGACTAACGTTTACATTATGTGTTTCCTGGAGAATTAAACTAAGCTCTGGTGCTGTGAGAGTCAGTCGGCGTCGAGCATTTAATTGTAAAAAATGATCTTGCTGAGGGGTAGTAATGCGATGTCGCCCTGTGTGCCTTTCAGCAACATCACCACTTTCACGGTATCGTGCACTTAATCGCGATATTACACTTTGCGTTGTATTTAATGCTCTAGCTACGTGGATTTGGCGCATTCCAGCTTCGAGCATACCCATGGCCCTTAGCATTTCGTCTATGTTAAGATGTCTACGCTCCATAATGTCGTTTAATGCTAAACAGTGTTATTTGAATGAATTCTGGCCAGTTATCATAAAAACATAGCCAGTACAGGTTAAATTCGAACAATGATGCTAGGTGCTTTTTATACATTTGACAAAAAATGCACAAACACTTCTGCAAATATCCCAAATTCAGAAATAACTAGTGTGACTACTTCGTTTCAATCGAAGTAGAAAGAATCGGCCTACAAATATGTGGTTGTTTATTCAAAACATTTATTTCTAACTTTAATAAAATGATTTCCCTAGATTTTTCCGGTGTGTATATATAATAACACTCCGATATCCTGCATCTCCGAAACGAGGCATTTTAGGACATGAACTTATACGGACTTCTTTATTTATTGTAATCTGCAGAATATGTTGCCAAAATTTCCCTATTATAATTCGGACCACCCTGTATATAAAAAAATATACTAATTTGAAAATATCCAACTATATGCATAGTCTTTCCATCGGGAGGATCTCTGATAGTGACAGTTATGTCTGTCATTTTAATTCACAGGCTAAAAATTGTATTTTCTGTCACTTTTTGAATTTTGTTTCTTTTCAATATGCTCCAACATAATCTTTTAGGATATGATACACAGTCATAACTTTATGTTTCAAAAAACGTACGCATTTCTCACAACATTTACAAAAATATGGCAAATTTATAAATGACAATTTAAAAAATAAATAAATAATAATGTTCTTTATATTTTTGTTTTGTCTAACAGAAAAATCTTATATATAGATATTAGATAATACTTACATATTATTTAATATCAAACATTTTGACCAACAAAATCAAAAATAGCGTTATCCTATTAAAAATCAATTGGCAAGTGGTAATAGATAACAAAGTGCGAGAATAAAAACATAAATTAGTTAAAAGGTATAAACGAACTCCATAACCTATGTCCATAACTGATTGGGTTACTTGTAATATATTATACAGAAAAGTCCACAGACTTCGAGACATAGGAAAATCAAGTCCATTTAGCGTGTGTCCAAATTTTGACAAGTTTTCAAAAATGACAGTTTTGTTTAGACTGACGTTTAATTTCATTTTATTTAAACTTGATAAGTTCGAACTTATTTATCTCAGATTCTTGAATCACATTTAAAAATGGATGTGTATCACGTTAATGAAAAAATTCAGATAATTAAGTGGATTTATCAGAACAAGTCGATTGAAGAAATAAAAACAGGATTCAGACAAGCTTTCGAAAATAGACCGGTGCCTTCAAAAGTCTCCATTCACAGGATAAAAGAAAATTTTGAAAAATATGACTGCGTTACTCCCCATATGCATAAGAAACCAACAATTGAAGATAATTCTCGTGAGGAAACAAAAGTCTTAATATGGGCTGCAGTCGAGGAAAATCCAAATAGAAGCTGTGTACAAGTTGCTGAAGCAGTAAATTCAAGTACAACAGTTAAAAGGGTCCTCAAAAAACATGGTTATCGTTCAAGGAAAGCTTGAAAGGTTCATGAAATTTTCCCCGACGATCAATTTCGCCGTATGGAGTTTTGCGAAATAATGATGGAAAAGGTAAATCTTGACGAAAATTTTCTTGGGAGAATTGTTTTTACTGATGAGTCGTCCTTTTCCTTATTAAATCGGCAAAACTCCACGCAAGTGCGATATTGGTGAAGAGAAAATTTGCACAGGTTTTATAATGTGCAAACCCAATATCCACAAAAACTAAATGTTTGGGCTGGTATTGTAGGGGAACACGTTATTGGACCATTTTTTATTGAGGGCAATTTAAATACTGCGAAATATTTGGATTTATTGCAACAGCAAATTCTACCGGCGATTCGACGATTATTTGGCGAGAGATTTGGTGATATTTGGTGGCAACAAGATGGATGTCCAGCACACAATGGTCGTATTGTGCAAGAATATTTAAACAATACTTTTGGCAATAGACTAATTAGTGGGCATGGAACCATCTTGTGACCACCAAGGTCACCTGACCTCTCGGTGAATTATTTCTTTTTATGGGGGTACATAAAATTTAAAATTTACGGCCATGAAGAAATTCAAAATTTGGAGCAGTTAAGGCAGAAAATATTTAATGCCTTTGACACTGTCACCCCTGATATATTATCCAATGTGAGGAGGGGATTTTATGATCGTTTGGGTTATTGTTTAATGCAAGAGGGAGGCATTTTTGAACAATTTTCGTAATTTTTTAAATTTCATTAACCTGTTTTTTTACCGTTTACCCATTACCTACCTTGATGAACATGGGAAAACAAAGGTCCTTTTCAGGACTACAAATATTTTGATTAAGAAATTTGTTACTTTTATTTTTTTTTGGATTAAAAAAACAAAAGTTGTTAATATAATACCAATTTAAAAGTGTTTTAGTAGTTTTAATACACACTATGATATAACATGTTATCAGGGGAGTTCGAGAATTTACCTGACCATGAACCTTTTTTCGCAGTTAAAAATAATATTGAATTCATTAACAAAATTAAAGATATAACATTACATGAAGGTGAAATTTTGGTCTCCTTTGATGTATCTTAGTTGTTCCCAAGTGTTCCAATTCCACATGCTTTAGGCTACTTGAAGGAATTACTGACCGCAAATGGTCTCGACAACAAAACTGTGACTGAATATATTGAGCTTACAACGTTATGTATGAAACAAAATTGTTTTCAATTTAATAACAACTTTTTTGAACAGCGGGAAGGTACAGCAATGGGTAATCCATTGTCTCCATTTTTGGTTAATTTATTCATGAGCAGGTTTGAAGTGGAGGCTAAGAATCAGTTTGAGTATTTTCCAAGAGTATGGTTTAGGTATGTGGATGATATTTTTGCTGTTTTTGATACACATTCAGACACCATAGATAATTTTATTTCTAAGTTAAATAATCGTTTTCCTTCCATTAAATTTACGCATGAAATTGAGAACAACGACAGATTACAATTTCTAGATGTATTAGTTATTAGAAATGCTAATAATTGCCTGGAATTTGATATCTATAGGAAAAATACGACCACACGCAGATATATTCCTAATGAATCACATCATAGTGTTGAACATAAAATGGCTAGTTTAAATTTCTTAGTTCATAGATTACTTAGTTTCCTACTTTGCAACGAAAGATATGAAATAGAAAGAGATTACATTGGGAATGTAGCTGAGTGTAATGGATATTCTCCTTCACTAGTTGATAAATTAATTAGAAAACGTAGGTATAGGTTAATGATTTCTGAAAATTCGACATCTAAATATTTTTCGATACCGTTTGATAGAGAGTTATCCCGTGGTCTAAAAGGAATTTTTAAGAATGTCAACTATAAACTTGTGTATAGTGCTAATAATAAATTACAACAATTATTAGGTAATCCAAAAGATAAAATACCTCCACTGGAAAGGTCGGGTATTTATGAAATTTCTTGTAAAGATTGTAATCAGAAATATGTTGGGCAAACTAGAGGATCAATATTAACTAGATTTAAAGAACATTTAGCTCAGATAAGATATGGTAGACCGGATAAATCTTGCGTTGCCGAACATATTGTTGATAAAGAACATTGTATAGATCTTAATAATTTAAAATGAATTAAACAAGTCTTAAATTACAGGCAATTAGATGCATATGAAAGCATCAGAATTAATAAATGTAAAGATAGTATGAACAGAGACAACGGTCCAGTTCCTTCAAGTTCTTTGTTCCTATTATTTTAGTGGCGGAAATCTAATTGTTACGCTCAGTGGGTTCTGACTCGGTTGGCTAGATTTTGCCACGCCCACTCGGTGCCCACTGGGCGAGTATATAAACGCTCAACTTGTAGATTGTACATTAGTTTATAATCATCTGCTGATTATGCTAACATGGTTAGCGAAACGCGCGTCCAGTGTAAAAGTAAAAGTTTTTTGGTGTATTGTGGTGATTTAGTGTGTAACATGTATTATTATTATAATGTACATTATTAATACTATTATTCATTTGAAATGCCATTAAGGCCCAATTGCACCAATGATTTAAATTTTTCTTAAGATAAGTAGAGCTTAGAATGAGCTGTATTTATATTTACTTTAATATTCACATTGAATGAGGGAATTTGACTGATACAATTTTTGAATTTGAATTGTTTTTAATGATACTAACAATTTTAGTTCAATTTTTAATAAAATTTATTTAATATTAATAGAAATCCAAGAGATTTGAAACCTCTTTTAGCGATTTATAACATTCTCAAATGAATTACAGGTGCCCTTATTTTCTATGAAAACCACACAGCTTTTTTCAGAGTCGCTGCAGTTACCACAGCTATAAAAAAACTATTTTTTTAAGGTGTGAAAATTGCGACACACGCTAAATGGACTTGATTTTTCCTATGTCTCGAAGTCTGTGGACCTTTCTGTATAATTATTTTCTGTAGGCTTGGTGCATTTCGGTTGATTTCAACAAATTCCGACCGCAGCGCTTCAACGGCAGAAATCAGAAATTATCAGTATGTATTTCACGCCGCCGCGCCGCGCCGTCCCCGTTACAGTTCATGTTGATCGGAATAAAATAATATTGAAATCGTGGCATTGTCATAATATTGAAGTATTTTAGTTTTTTGCTAGTGCAGTTATTGAGACTATAAAACTCTCAGGTACGAAATTTGTGTGATGTAACGCTGTTTCGGGTAGTGAAAAAGAATTCCAACTAGGAGTCGGCGTCGTGTGTGAAATTGTCACAACACAATTTCAAATGTTATTAAAATTGCCAAAAAAAGTTAACGCGTAAAGGAGATCGTAATTAGGGCGCTGTTGGGTGCAATAACATTCAATAACTCAATTTTCCCAGACTTAAGCAATAACTCAATTTTCTCGAAACAACAATTTATAGCTTCATAGTTTCTCACACCTATTTGATCAAAAGCAGAAATGAATTGAAGCAGTTCGACGAAACAAGTGAGTAAACAAAGTGCTCGTTTCATAATCAAAAAAATATATAGATATATACTATGACAGGATAAAATATATCAAATATAATTTGCAATATTAATGGTGTACTTTTTTTAATCGACTAATGATTAAATATTTTATGAACATCTTCTAAAATTATAATTATGTACCTTTAAAAATTTTCGTTATAGCCGAAATGGCCCCAATTATGACCCCACTAGAAAAACCGGTGATTAAAACTATGCTCGCTACCGTAGTTGAACTCATCGAAAAAGTTTTTTTAGCTGGAATAATAAATTATAATACAAGCTAGACCTTCTGAAGCTATCAAAATATTTACTTTTTTATTTTTAGAACACTTTTAGAATAATTATATAATACATTTTTCATATACTCGCTATTTAAACTCATGTATATGTATATACTAGTTGTTTACGATATTCTCTGATGGTGGCAGCACCGGTGGAGAATGCACCAAGCCGAAAGAAAGTTTTTTTTAGTGCAAACGATCCCATGCTGTTGAAATAAGTATTTTTGAAACTCATTTCTAAGATTGGCAATAATCTCACTCTCACTGAAGTTCTCACCCAATGTCTTTTCAAATTTGTACACATTGCATAAAATCAATTGTAAAATAAATAAATAATATAAAATAATCACAAAAAAACGGAAAAAAAGTGTCGAGTTTAGTCAAATTAAAGTGACAGTGTCTTTTTAATAACGAATATAAAGGTAATATTTGACCATTGCCTTAGTCTTTTAATTCAATATTTGTTACACTTTAAAAAATATTAATGTACCTTTGGTTGTAACTCGAGCAACTCCACGTACTTATTGATTTCCTCATTAATTTCACTGCCCGACATACCCTTCAACCTGCTGAAGAAATACAGGTGCTCCGCCACTGTGAGCTCGTCAAAAATGATATTGTGCTGAGGACACAGCCCCAAACTATTCCTCACTCCATCTATATCGGTTCTTACGTCGTACCCGTTGATCACAGCGGTACCACCGCTCGGCGGGAACATCCCCGTCAACATGGACATTGTGGTCGTTTTTCCTGCGCCGTTGTGGCCCAAGAGAACGGTGATTTGGTCTTGGTACATGTTGAGCGACAGGTTTCGAACGGCGGCCTTTTTTCCGAACACCTTCCTCAGATTGTTGATTTGGATACCGACGCGTAGGTTTTTCGGTTCGCCTTCGAAAAATTCGCTGTCTTGCTCCGAACTGCCGAGATCTTCGACGGCTAAAAAGAAATTAAATTAGTTTTTAGTGATGTGTCGGTATTTGTGTAACGCGATTTTGGAGCGGTATTTTTTTGTTACGTTTTCGTGTCGCGCTCCACAACGAATCAGGAACCTGTTACTGAAGAATGACGATCATAATAACGACAAAGCTACAAATTATTTATAACTTGCAAATAAAATATATACAGGGTTTTTCACCACATACGACACGGAGTAGTGTAGCTAAACGATTAAATTTTTACAAATTGTAAGTTTCGGGTTCGTTAAAGGACTATTAGAGCTACAATTTAAAAATATTTTTACAAGATACAGAGCGGTAAAAATATTTTTACAAGATACAGACCAAATAAATAAAAAAATATTAAAGTTGTATTTTTTTTAATAAACATTTTTAGTTTCTACGATTAAAATGAAGGTAAATTTGATTAAGGTTTATCACACTTATCACTCGCTTTTGGAGTTAGCGCGAGCCGCAGTAACAGCATAGGGCCGTGTTTAGCTCCAGCCGTCGCGCTCCTATGGTTGCGATTTCGTCGGTCGCGAACAGTAGTAACTGGAAAGCACGTAGCGTCGCGCGATCTCTGTCGCTTTGTCTGTCGCGAAGAGAGGTAACTGGTAACGACCCATACCATTAAATTAGTTATTAGTGATGTGTCGGTATTTGAGTAACGCGATTTTGGAGCGGTATTTTTTTGTTACGTCGCACACACGGCAAAATCCTATGTTTAGCTTGACAAAAATCCAGATTATTTTTTTTTCGTATTATTTCTTATCCACACATTGTTTTTCTTATTACATTTATAGGGCTAATTTTAAATATAATAAATTTTTCCATTCAACTAGAGTAGTGCAAACGTTACCGAAAATTGACGCAGTTCGCACCTTTCGTGGAGCGCAAAAGAGTCATTTACACCCAGCACAGCTATTTGATTTTTTTTCTACTGTCAATAATATATGAAAAAAAGCTTGTAATAAACTTAGAAATTCATAATTTAGAATATCTGTTTTCTTAAAACTAAAAGAATCATTTCTTGATATTACAGAACTGGTATAGAAATCAGTGCGACGGTTACGGTGCGACTCGCTGCAAATAAAGGGCCATTTCAAGAAAGGGCAGATTTGGGAAAGCTGATTTTTTTATACCTGTATCAACATACATTTAGTAATTTTAATTTTAATAAATTAAAAGCGGAACTCTAAATTTTGTGCAGATATAAAGTATATAAAAAAAATCAATGGTATTATAGGATGTATTGCAGGAAATTATTATTAGGGATTTAAATGGAAGTAGTTTAGATATAACCGTTTGTCGCCTCAGCCTGAATTAATTATTTATTAATTCAGGCTTATTATTAATTTACTTATTTCACATTGAATGGTTTTGAGCCATTTCTGGCTCCAATTCAATCAGAAATCGACACGAAAGAGAATTAAAAAATGTTTACTATGCTCAAAACTGATAACCATAAAATAATTAACTAGAAAGAAGTGTCAACTCTGTGTTAAATCGTGGAAACACGATACGCCACCGAAAGCCTTCGTTGTCGTCTGGAGAACTAATTTTCAATTGACAGGTTGACATGATGGCTTCATTTTTATTTCCGTTTCCGGTTATTCAATGGCGGGCACCTCTTTCAGTTTAAATGTATTTTGTACTCTTTCTTATCATAAATAAAACAAAATAAAAATTTATTCAAACATATTTATTTGAAATGTGAGACAACGTGACTAAATAAATATAAAAAAATAAAGAATTGAATGATTTTTATATCAATTACTTAATTATATGCAGGTTTAACGTAAATTAGTAAGGTATAAGTATGACTTACAGTAATTTGTAAATAAGTACACGTATTCACAGACTTCAGAAACAGAAAACGGGGACAGGAACATGAAAACGGGAACCTTATACCATAACAAACCAAACCTGAAAACAGAAAAACACATTTTTTATACTAAAATTAACAATGTAAAAATATCAATATAGGTATAAAATATAAATATACTAATTAAAAAAGCTCCATCATTCCCAAAGAAACCTGGTTTATGAATCCAAAAGAAGTAAAAAGAGACTTTTAATCGGATAACAATCAGATTGTATCAGACAGATTGATTGTATTATTGACAATAAATCGCACATACTGGAGATAACTAATATAGGCTATAGTTAAAAATGATCTTACCTTTTTATTAAAGTCATTTTGACATTTTAGAAATAATAATTTATAAACCAAATAAAAAAATAGTTTAATAATAAATAAGTAAGTACATAGTTGGTAATATATAGTATTTTTAGTAACAGTTAATTAGTAGTCTATAATATTTTTACTATATTATAATTTAGTTGTTAAATCAAAAAAAAAATAGGCGCTATGTGATCTATTATTGGTGTTTAAAATGTATGTATTTATAATTTTAATTTTGTTATGTTACACTTCTAATGATCTAATAAAACATAAAATGGCAGTAAAAAAGTCTATATTTACTATTTTATATTTTACAAGGAATAATTTTGCGCTTGAATAACGTTACCGTTTTAATTAGCGTTAATAAGTAACGGAACGTTAAAATTATGTTATGCCAAAACTCTCCATTAGTTTCTTCCGGATCACCAGGTAGCTCTAAATGACGGACCCATTTGTTTTATATCAGTGTCCAATCTATCTCTAGTACGTGACATTGGTCTATGGTTCGCACCTTTCGTGGAGAGCAAAAGAGTCATTTACATCCAGCACAGCAATTTGAATTTTTTGCTACTGTCAATAATATATGAAAAAAAGCTTGTAATAAACTTAGAAATTCATAATTTAGAATATCTGTTTTCTTAAATCTAAAAGAATCATTTCTTGATATTACAGAACTGGTATAGAAATCAGTGCGACGGTTACGGTTGCGACTCGCTGCAAATAAAGGGCCATTTCAAGAAAGGGCAGATTTGGGAAAGCTGATTTTTTTATACCTGTATCAACATACATTAGTAATTTTAATTTTAATAAATTAAAAGCGGAACTCTAAATTTTGTTAAGTGCAGATATAAAGTATATAAAAAAAATCAATGGTATTATAGGATGTATTGCAGGAAATTATTATTAGGGATTTAAATGGAAGTAGTTTAGATATGACCGTTTGTCGCCTCAGCCTGAATTAATTATTTATTAATTCAGGATTATTATTAATTTACTTATTTCACTTTAAATGGTTTTGAGCCATTTCTGGCTCCAATTCAATCAGAAATCGACACCAAAGAGAATTAAAAAATGTTTACTATGCTCAAAACTGATAACTAAAGAGACAGTTTTATTTATTTGTCAAATTACATAGAAACCAACGCCAACCCAGCACAATATTTTTTCTACTCGCAATAAATTCCTTGAAATAATAATTTCTATAATATTTCTCAAATTCTTTTCATTTTATCCTCTTTTATAAAAAATAACTATTATCTACATTCAGAACAAGATTCAATTTTGATATTATTTAATTGTACTACATGTCGGGACGTATATTGTCCATAATAATAATTAATTTCAAACTGTGGCTGTGCTTGGTGTAAATGTAACCCTTATGCGCTCCACGTTTGTTAAGGCTAACGCCCTATAACATTTAAAATTAGGTCCACAGATTTTATAAGAACGAGAGTGTGGATTAACATACGAAAAAAAAAATTGTAATTTCGATTTTGGTCAAGCTAAATATAGCATTTTGTCGTGTGTGCGTCGTGTCGCGCTCCATAATGAATCAGGAAACTGTTACTGAAGAACGACGATCATAATAACGACAAAACTATAAATTATTTATAATCCACAAATAAATTATTTATAATAGCTCTAGGAGTTTCGAACCGCAGTAACCGCATAGGGCCGTATTTCGCTCCAGCCGTGGCGCTCCCAGGGTCGCGATTTCGTCGGTCGCGAACAGTAGTAACTGGAACTGGTAAGTACGTAGCGTCGGGCGATCTCGATCGCTTCGTCTGTCGCGAAGAGATGTAACTGGTAACGAGTCTCATACCGCGACGTATTTCGCTCCTGTGCCAGTGGTCACGCGACTGCTGGAGCGCTCCTAGGGTCGAGTTTTCGTCGGTCGCGGATAGTAGTAACTGGAACTGGTAAGTACGTAACGTCGCGCTTTGATTGGTCGTTGTTGGCGTTGATGCTCCCGTTGCATTCGTTACTTTATTTTTGAGATCGCGATTTAGGTAGGTCTAGGTACAAGGAATTTTTGATTGATAATAAATACATGTTAGGTACATTAGATAGTTACAAATAAACACTTTTACAAAAATAAGAAGAAATATGACCGAAAAAAAGATAGTAGATAGTAGATAAAAACATACAAGCAGATAAAGAAATTTAGCATATGGCGTAGGTATCTCGAATAATGATTCAAATTATGTTACTTTTTATTGTTTAAGCTAAACTATTTCTAAAGCAAACAGATTTTACGAAAAAAGATAGAAAAATATAATTATCTTACAAATAATGTATGTATTTTAATTTAAATTCTAACGGTTATAACGTGTATCAGAAGAATATAAATCTAAATATTATTGGCAAAAATATAAAACTTATAAAAAGCTATTCTTTGAAGAAAAAATGGCGAATAAAAAGTATTGAATACTAATAAATTATATTATATTATTTTTTTATTTAATAGTATTATTTTCAAAATTAAAAGCTAACATAACTAAATTCTTCTAGCCATTTGCATGTTGTTTATTGTTTACAAATTTGGGGGGTTAATTGTTATTGTTTATGAATTTGCCTATGTTTTTGAATCAGAGATAACGACAGGAAGAGGAGTAGGTAGGTACAGTGACCAGAAATATCCCATAGGCAGGAACAGCGACACTTTGGAAGCCGGATCCTCGGTTACAAAATCGCGGTATTTCTCTGGAACGGTCGCTATTGTAACGCGACTAATGCGGAACCGGCATTCCCATGACTATGAGACTACTGCTTGCGCTACGGCCGGCCACCTGCTATAGAATAAGTACCCATTTTCGTGAAATTTCTGGGAATTTTTTTCATTTCAACTGACACAATACGGTCACTGAGTAGTTAAAATTTAACTAATTTAACAGCTATATTTGTATACAGCTAAGTAAAATCAGGCATATCATAGCGGCATAATTCTATTTTGCACGACAGTATAATGACACGACGGTATTTTTACCTTCCTGTATGATATCTACTATACGCTCTTAATTTACACAGACAGGTCGAATATATTGACTGTTCCAAGTATACCTACCAACATGATTCTTCCCACACCAGTAAGACGATGTGAATGGAAAATACCAAGGCTGGGGTATGCCATAATCTCCAGGAAAGATAGCTTCTACATACAAAGCTACTAGAAGGTAAATTATTGAGTCTATTACCAGCATCACCATTAGATGTCCCAAAGTAAGAGTATCGTCAGGAGTATTAGGGCTCCATATATTGTCCCACTGTACACCTAGAATCATTAATTAGTAAGTTTTAAGCGATTTAAAGCATTTAAAGTTTTTTTACCGTCTCCTGTGCCTTCAAACATCAGCATCAGTTGGAATCCAAAGGCCATAGCCGTGTTAGAACCCAACGAGGTAGCTAGTTTTGTACCTAATGGTAGGTACTCGTAATTCTGTTGTAGAAATAAGTAAGGTGCATAAGACAAAAACCAGGCTAACCCGGCAATAGTTGCGGCAGTGTTTGCTATAAAAAATAGTAATTAAGGAATAATATTAAATGTTTGTGCCTTATACAGGGCGTTTCAAAAAACATGTGTCATCTCTCGTGGGGAGATTCCTCACGTAAAAATAAAATTTATTTTTTATGTCAACATAGGTCCGTTTCTGCTTTGTTTCGTAGCTATAGGGTGTTAAAATCTTAATATTTTTTCAATATAGAATATATAAAAAAGTGGCGACATATTTACTATAGAGACGTGCATATGTGGTCACTGGAATATTTTTCTAAAAAAAACATGTACGCCACTAAGTTTTTTTTTCTTGTTAGCGAAATAGTGTGAGGAATTTAATGCCGATTAAAAGTTGTATCTAGATATTTTGTCGATTTCGGCCTCCTTAATGAGATAAACGCGATTTTATTAATTTACCTTGTTGCAAGTCTAATAGCAACCTTTAAAAAAATAATATCATTAACTTGCGAAAGTTTTTAATAAGTACTCATTGATTCCTTATCAAAAAATATGAAAAAAAAAGTTTCTATTAACATGGGTATGGAAATGCATAGTTTTAGAGTTATAAGACGTTAAAACCTTTTAAAATTAAGTTTTTTGGATTTAACTTAAATACCATTATTTCTTATTTGGAATTGCTGTAGGTTGGACTAGTAGTAATAATACCTAATAGTAATAATATTTAATAATAAATTAGATATTTATTCATTTTTTTTTTATTTTTATTAATTGTGATTAATAAAATAGTTTTTATCTCATCAAAGAGGCCGAATTCGACAAAATATCAAGAGATAACTTTTAACTGACATTAAACGACCTACACAATTTTATATATAAAAAAAAGTCAGTGGCAAAACGTGCGCCACTGACTTTTTTTTTAAATATTCTAGTGATAACCCATATGCACGTCCCTGATGAATTTATCGACACTTTTTTAGCATTAAAATATATAGCACTTATAGTAACTTTTACCCTCAAAATTCATTCGAATCACTAAAAGTACTTAGGATAAAATTATAATAAGTCGAAAGATTATTAAGACTTTAACACCCTGTACCTACGAAACAAAACAGAATCGAACTTATGTTGATATGAAAAAGAATCCTATTTTTACGTAAGAATCTCCTCACGAGATATGGCACATGTTTTTTGAAACACCCTGTACATGGTTCATCATGGTAATATTTTTGACACAAAATCTATACCGGGTGTTGCATCGTCGAACGGGACATAGGAAATCCCATGTAAGTTTAAATGGGGTCAATTATTGGCTTCCCTAATTATTTTAGAGAATAATTTTATTTAGGTTTATTGAAGAGCACTAAAACCCACATTCAAAAGATCAACTTTAGATATTTTTGATTAGCCCCTTTTCGAGTTATCGCCGATTTATTTTTAAATATTTCTCCTTTCTCGTGGCCCTGTATTTACTTATGAGCACCAGTCAAGGTAAAAGATAACTGGCAAATTAAGTTGTCATTTCAGAAATTTATCTATTTAGTACTTTATTATTATTATTAAAAACTCATACCTACATCGAAAATATTAGCCATGAATTACACTACCGAAGAAAATGTATTGATGATTAAATGGTGTTATCAAGGAAATAGTTACCAAAAGGTGTCGAACATGTTTGCTCCTCTGTATCCGAATAGACCGATACCTGGAAAATATACAATCGCAAGAAATATCCAGAGATTTGAGACCAAAGGTGCCCTAATAAATAACTGCAAATGTGAAGCATGACAGGAACAAAGAGAAAATGCAAGAAATGATACCGACTTGGAAGTTTTATCGTGCGTGGAAGAGAACGATGGAAAGATCAGCACAAGGAAACTTGAGGATGAAATAGGAATAGATCACACTACAGCGTTTCGAATTTTGAAACGACATAAATACTATTCCTATAAATATGAAAAGCACCAAGAGTTACGAGATGGGGACGAAATACGGCGGCAGGCGTTTTGTTTTGATATGATGGAAAGAGCATACACGGATATGGAATTTTTAAAAAACATATGTTTCAATGATGAATGCACGTTTACCTTACCAAATGAACCCAATGTTCAAAATTATCGATATTAGAACAAAGAAAACCAACACAGGTTTGTCGAAACAAGGACGCAATATCCATAGAAAGTAAATGTTTGGGCAGGGATATTCGGACACAATATTATCGGGCCATTATTTCTTACGCGAAATTTAAATGCAGAATATTATTTAGAACTACTCGAAAATCATATTTTACCTGCTTTACATGATGCCGCTAGGGAAAATCAGGAAGTTTGGTACCAAATGGATGGCTGCCCGGCACATAGTACCCTGGCTGTTCTTGAATATTTATACAATAGTTTTAACGGAAACGTTATTGGCCTAAATCATACAGTAAATTGGCCAGCAAGGTCTCCTGATATTTCGCCAAATGATTTCTTTCTCTGGAGCCATTTAAAAAATAGGATATACAAGGATAAAAAATACCCAAATCTAGACGAGTTAAAAAATGCTATTTCGAATGCAATGCAATAGAATTTCAGTTTACCAACTAACGCATGTAAGAAGAGAATTTTATGATCGCCTGGGTTATTGTCTAGCAGTCGATGAAGGAATATTTGAACATCTTAAATCCTAAAGTTCTGACAATTTAATAGTACCTAAATTAATAAGTTATTGAATATTGTAATAAAACTATAATTAACCTTGTAATTGATTACTTTATTTTACTTTAATTCATATTAATTTGTATTTATAAATAGATCTTTAAGATTTCCGATGTAGGAATGAGTTTTCAATAATAATAAAGCACAAATAGGTAAATTTCTGAAATGACAACTTCATTTGACAGTTATCTTTTACCTTGACTGGTGCTCATAAGTAAATATAGGGCCATAAGAAAGGAGAAATATTTAAAAAGAAATCGGCGATAACTCGTTAACGAGCTAATCAAAAATATCTAAAGTTATTCTTTTGAATGTGGGATTTAGTGCTCTTCAATAAACCTAAATAGAATTATTCTCTAAAATAATTAGGGAAGCCAATAATTGACCCCATTAAAATTTACATGGGATTTCTTATGTCCCGTCCGACGATGCAACACCCGGTATATAATACATAGTAATAAAAAAGTACATGTTTTCTGAAAAAAAGAGTGTAGAATGCACGATGAGACAATTTTCTTTTATTTGTACAAAAATTGCCTAAAATTTACTCTTAAAAATAAATAAATAAGCAATAAACTTGTATACAGTATGTACCCGTTTTGTTTTAACCAGTGAAAACTTGCTTCCTCTATAATGGTTAATCCCGTTTATACTTTTCCAAACTTTCATGCCGTTTTAGAGAAAAATAAGAGATTCAAGTTTATCGTTTCAGTTGTGTGTGATATATCCAAAAAATTACAGTAAAGAGATTATTATCATAATACCTACAAACCTTTAGAAAAGAATACGCTTATGGCAAAGCAGAAAGTAATAGTGGCGCATATGTAACAAAATAGGAACAGCAATATGACAAACGGATTAGCGTAGGTGAAAACCGTAAACTCCGTATTGGTATACCATCTGACTTTCAGCAGGACCACCATTAAAATGATCGAGACTAGGAGGTAGCTTAAACTTTTCAGGAACCAGGCAGTCCAATGTAGCCAGTTGGGTAGGCCCATAATTTTCATTGCCTCCTGTAATGTAAAGAACGAAAACATATTTATTTAGATTAGATGTTAGTGTTTACTATACACATAAAACCCAAGTAGCATTTTCACGACTTGCGACCACATGTTTACTAAACAAAACGTTGGATCAGTTACAAAAAATAGTTAGCTCCGTACCTTGGGTATTACAATATAAACGTTGTTGTAACGTTGTGCCGACGTTGAACTAGTACTAAAACAAAGTAAAAGCTTCTGCGACGTCTAATCAACGTTGTCATGTAACCTTTTTTGCTTAAGTGATCTTTAGGTGATTCGGACAACGTAGTTACAATGTTGGGCAATAAAGAGTTTTTCGACGTCACTTTCAGGACCTATTCCAACGTTATGCAAACGTCGTCTGTTTTACTAATTCCAACGTTGTTTAGATTTCCTTATTCTTACGTTGGTAGGACGTCGAGCCACTACCTTTTTGCAACTGTATTGAACCATAACCTTAAATCTTAAATTTTCACATCATTGTTCTGTTCAGTCAGACAGTTCAGTGCTGTTTTTGTTTTTATAAAAAATACTTAATTAAAATGGGACATAAGAAAGGTACATATAAAACTAAATTTAAATATACATCGACATATTACCGATACTTTATCCACTCCCTCGTTTATTTAGAATATAGAGGGCGGCACAAGCTAGACTCTAGGATGACTAAATTAGGGAATCTTGCGACTAGTATACTACCTAGTTGTTAAGGCTGAACTGCGACTTTATTAGTCCAGTATGCGACTACTCGAACTACTCCATCTTAATCTCCAAAACAACAAACTGACAGCCGCCATGTTGTTGAATAAGAAAATCTTTCGTCCCTAAAATAGCAATTCCTGCTTTTTGAATACATTAACTTGAAATATTTGACCCTAAACAACACGCGGAAACAATTTTTTCGACTGCGAATAAATTATTCTCATTTTACAAAAAAAAAATTCAAGAAATTTTTTAAAACTTCTTTAATTTTAAGGCCCATTAGAATTTTTCTAAGTAGAAACAGTACATTTATCAATAAAGTTGTTTGCGTTTAACTTTTTTGCCTTGGGTAACAAGTTACAACGAGTCGGTTAAAGTGTTTCAATAATTATTATCTTCAAACATCCTCCACAGTTAAATACTTTTGTTTTGATTTCCTTTACTGCCATCTGGCATATGTCTCTAACTAAATCATAAAAATAATATTTTTACCATAATTATCCCAATTTAGGACAAAACGCGACTTAGACGTCATATTTATTATAGTTTTGTATTTCTGTGAATTAGGATTTTAAACAACGTTGCAGTTTGTACTAAATTAGGCTGCTAGCCAACGTCGGCGTCGGTATCCAACGTCGTTTCGACCCAAAAATTATTCTCCAAACTAATGCAGACTAGGGTTGGCACGAGGTTGTGCCGACGTTGCGCCCCGACGTTTGGTCGCGTGACATAACGTTGTCCCGACGTCCAAATGCTGCTTGGAAAGGATCTTAAACCGCGTCCAAGCCAATTGACACAAATACAAAAAAAAAACATAATAAAAGGTACCGTATGATCGAAAAAAAAACGGACAACATACTGAAATTCTGGATTTTCCCGTAAATCCCGGACGTCTGGCAACTCTAGATGAGAGAGAGATTCAAGGAGACTTCGAAGATTCTAGGCGATTCTAGACCTAGGTACTTTAAGAATATATAATAATTACATGACTATTTGTGCAAATTTTCAAAAAAAATCGTTGTTTAAAATTTATATAATAATTTTTGTGTCAATTTTACACATTTATTATTCAAAAATATAAATCGCTAAAAAAACCGCTAGCCGCTAAATTAATTTTTTTCCGGCTAAACCGAAAAAAAACCGCTAGATCTAGCGGCAAATCCGCTAAGTTGGCAACAGTGGTGGTCGGAATTTTGACGTGTAAGACAGTGATATAGACAGCTTAATGACAAATCAAATATATTGAGAAGAGATAAAAGTTGGGTTGATATATTTCTTCTATTATTATATTCTTTATATTCTTCCAGATTTTGCATCAAAATTTCAAACCGCACAAGTAGACGTTTACGAAAAATGTTGCTGTAATAGATTATACACTATATATACAGGGTGTCCCAGAAATAAGTGCAAGTATTTTAAGGGGTGGTAGATCTCGATAAAAGAAACAAATTTTCTCTTTATCGTTTTTCAAATAAGTCCAAAATCACGGAGTTATTTTACTATGAAAATTTCAAAAAGATTTTTTGCTAAAATTTTGAGAACCACTGGATCTTTTCTGGATTTTCTTTCTTGTAAATTTAATCAAATACCTATGTTGCCACATTTTCAAGAAATTATGTTTTTAAACTAAAAACTTAAAAAAATTCCATCATTTTTTTTCGCGAAAAAAACCTCATAGGTAGGCGTGTTTCTGAGGCTGAACTTATACTACCAGTTAAAATACTTGTACTTATTTCTGGGACAGCCTGTATATACCGGGTTCGTCTCAAAATTGGTTAACCCCTATAACTTTTTTATTTTTTCAGATAACAAATCGGGACTTGGTATATTGGTATATGACATAAATTAGGATTGATTGACGTATTCAATTGTTTTCGGTCGCTTCCTGCTTCACCGGAAATCACTGCAACTTTTGATTTTTAAATGGCACCCTCGGTGTTTTGTTACTAACTTAGTTATTTGAAATAGCAACATGAGACTCATAACGACAATTTAAATCGAAATACCAAGTGTGTGGTACCAAATTATTCGTAAAAAAATGCTTGTTCCAAATATGCTAACGAGCCACTCTCGTTCTATTTGAAAAATTGAGATATGATTAAAAATACGATTTGGGCATCTTTTAACCGGCCAGGACACGACACTCAAAACATTAGACGATCAAAACTATTTTTCCAAGGCTCCTTGATTAAAAATTAGTGTTATGGGACTCTAGATTGAAATTTAGAATACAATTTCGTTTTAAGCTAAAATGTCAAAAGTTGACATATGATATGTTATTTATATTGTTATTATATGATATGATATTCAGAGTGTCATTTTCTATCGAATAAGGTAAAAATACACCGAGGGTGCCATTTAAAAATCAAAAGTTGTAGTCATTTCCGGTGAAACAGGAAGTGACCAAAAACAATTGAGTACGTCAATCAACCCTATTTTATGTCATATACCAAATCCCGTTTTTTTTTATCTGAAGAATTAAAAAAAATATAGGAGTGAGCCACTTTCGAGACGCACCCGGTATAATAATAAATAAACTACCAAAAGTCTCCAGTGATCCTCCACCTGCTAAATATTGATTCAAGGTCAAAAGTAAAGTTAGACAATCATTTTCATATTACTTATAATAACCATATAATAACATACCTTTAGTTGCTTTTCTTTTTCGGCTGTGACGGCCTTCACTGTGTTGATGCAGGTGTAAACAAAACTCAACATGATAATGATACCGACGAAACTTTTCAGCGGTGTCAACAGCGGATCGTTTTGCCAATGGGCATAAGGAAATCTCCTCATATAAAAAGCTGGTAATTTGATGTTGTTCAACTGTAATTGTAAAATCAAGCTTGCTATGCCAGCGGGAGTCGTTAAATCGGGAATAGTAATTCCTTTTTTTATCAGAAGAGTAGAGAATGAGACGATGTGCTGGAGTGAAAGAAAACCTTCGTTGTAGTAGTCTGAAAAAAAAAAGAAAACTAAATAATGTCTCTATACCTTTGTGACGGGTTTATTTCTTAAAATAATTCTGTTTTTTACCACTGGAAGAATATCTAAGAATATCTAAAAAATGAAAAAGTTATTTTTTGTAAACATCACTGGCGTTGAATTCAAACGGTAACCATATTGTCAGCAAAAACGATGTCAACGGTTTATAATAGAGGTAGGTATCTTCTAAAAACTATAAAGTGTTCTTGAATAGTTGTATTTAGAAATTTAAAATATATTTTTTCTTTGTTTATTTGCATTTTTTTGCTTCTGATGACAGATCCGAACTGTATTCCGGAAACTTCGGCAGCATATTTTACTGATAAAAATAATTGAAAAAGTTTTTATAAATGCATATCCTAAAAAGCTTAATTTCGGAGATTCAGGGTCTAGAAGTTTCATTTTTATTTTGATTTTTTCCAAATAATTTCTGAAGTAACGTCAATATTTGGATGAAAATTGGTGTCTGGGAGTTTTTTGACATTTGAATATTGATGTCAATATGACATTGAGAAATTTGATTTTGATGTCAATATGACTCCTATTTGTAGGGGACATGTGTTTTAACTGCTTTGAAACTGTTTGTCCGTAGCTGTATAAAACTACTTAGTGAAAAAATATACGATGTACTTAAACAGCCGTTAAACGGTAGCCTACTAAAATGCCGTTAATAGATATTGTGACGTCGTTCATGTCGGCGAAAAGTAATGCCTAACCTTAAGCATTTTGCAAGAGCACCTGTGGGTCAGTGGCTGAGGCTATCGCTTCGTAAGCGAATGGTCCGTGGTTCAAATCTCACGCCGACCAAGACATTTTTATATTTTTTTTGCTTATAGCGTGATCTTATTGCATTGGTTTCACTCTTTTTGGTTGGATTGGTTTAGTTATTTGGCGGGTTGGTTAGCATGGTTATTTGGAGGGTGTTAATTCATTGGTTAGTTGGCTATTTGGTGGGGTTGGTTGATTTTTACTAATTTATATTTGTTTTTTATATTTTTTATCAGTGTCGAGGTTAGTTGCGTTGGTTAAGTTGATTATTTGGAGGGGTGGATAGCGTTGGTTAGTCCTTATAAAATTCCTATATTCCATAAAGCCGTCAAGTGCGTCACATCAACGACGTCATACCTATTAACGACATTTTAGTAAGCTACTGTTTAACGGCAGTTTAAGTACAGCCAAAAATATACATTTTCGTGATTTTCTACGTAAAAAATGTCTCTTGGTAAAAATCGCTACGCAACCGTTCTCAAGATATTTACAATGGAAATAGTCCATCTCCATACATGTCATTATTGACTAAAAATAAACATATGTTGAGTAGATAGTTATTTGCGATTTTATTTGACTGAAATGAAAAATTTGGGAGCTTTTTATTTTTTTAAACTAATAATAAATTTTTCTTCGAAAAAATGGTGATAAAACAGTTTCTGTTGAACTTTCGGCACAAAAAATTTCAAATTTATGATTTTAGTCTAATAACTAAGTCAATGATGTCAGGTATTGGTAATTTCGATTCCAAATATCTCGAGAACCATTACTCGTAGCGATTTTTACCAAGAGACATTTTTTACGTAAAAAATGTCGTAAATGCATATTTTTTAACTAACTACCCATATAACACAACACAATCCTATAGATATCTTGAGGATATCCACCAAGGATATAGTAAATATCTTAGGGATATCTAAAAACCAGAGAAGGATATTTATGGGATATCCAGATGGGAAAAAAAAAGTCATCTTCAAGACATCCCTAGGCAAGCCTTTTACGATCATTTGGGATATTTCTAGGATAATACAAGGATGATGTTGGGAGCATTATAGAATATTTTTAGGACATTATATGAGGACTGTTATTTGACAAAACTTCATCCTTAGTTTATAGTAAAAACGTTCGCGATTTAGTTTTATTTAGCCACATTTTGACGATATTCATTGGATATTTTTATTAACAGCTCTAAGATATACCTACAATGTCAATGAATTTTGCGTCAAAATTTAGAAGTTTATTTGTATGAGTTAATAGAGCTTTCAATTTATACTATATCATCGAAAAAAAAACGGCGTTCAATTGGCTTGAAAATTACGATCATGACATTCCCCATATAATTTTACATACAAAATAACAGCAATCTTCATTTCCAAGCCACCTCTGACGCCGTTTTTTTCGATCGTATGGTATTATACCAGATTATACTACCCTTTATGGAGTCTAGCAGTTTATGTCTAGCTTAGTGTGTTCTATGGTCTAGCAGCAACAGTTTACATCAAAGTTAGCACACAAGATACAGGTATATAATTTCTAACACCACACATTCCAGAAACTCAAAAATTTATACACAAAAATAGGATTTCTGTTTAAAGAGATCACACACGAAAATGGGTTTAGGGGTAAAGAACAAGCGCTTTTCAACAAATTTTCACCTATAATTTTGTCACAAATTTTTCATTGTGAGACCCTGAGTCTTTCGTCGTTTTTCGACATTAGTTGAGGTTAGGATAGAATTTCTGTTAGAACAAGGCTAGAAAAAACTAAGTCAAACTCAACCAGTTTTGTTAGTTTCAGTCATTTTTAAGCCCATTCAACATCGACAAACGACCGAATTCACCTCGAATTTCACTAAATCAAAGAACTGAATAATATACGATGCAAAAACAAACAACTGTTGAGATGGATTGTGGGAAATTTTTTGCGCGGGCGTTTTAAATTCTCTGTATTACTGGGAGTGGCCAAGCTCATAAATATCCAGATTATCCAGAGGATACCAACAGGATATTTTGTTGCCTTGACGTAATACATATCTATCTGTATGGTTTATTGCATTTTATGTAATATGAAAAGTAGTACATTATTTATTTTTCCTAAATATCTAGACGATATTATTAGGATATTTTATTATCATGAGCATGTTTGGATATCTCAGCTGGATGTACAGCTGGTTTAAAAAAAAAATGAATACGACTCTTTACACATTTTTTTCAAATATTTGGGCAGTGTATATTGATGTGTCAAGTATTTTGATATGTTAAGGTTATTGTGACATTGTATAAAACAACTTTTCTTTTGACAAAGTGGCAAATAAATTTTTCAGAACGTCAGCATGACATGAATAGAGAAATGGCGGACTGGTATCATAGAATATACTGCCCGGAATAATAAAAATATGTTTTAAATCGTATTCAATTTTATTGGAACCAGCTGTACATTAGACATACGACAGAGATATCCATAGGATATTCTATTCTGAGACATCTATAGGATTTCAGGATGTCTGGAGGATATCCTATAGATGTCTTTATAAAATGATCTTTTATAATGGGACATTTTGACATTCTGTGAATATCCTGCGGATATTGTGTGTTATATGGGTAGTTTTATACAGGTACGAGCGAAAAGTTATTACTCTTCAAACCAGTTAAAAAATATGTAGGTAGCGCCCTCTACAAGTACGAGAGCCATAATGACATCGAAATCAAAATTCTCATGCCAAAAAACTTTCAGACACCAATTTTCATTCAAATGTTACTTCAGAAATTATTTGGAAAAAGTCGAAATAAAAATGAAACTTCTACACACTGTATTTCCGAAACTAAGCATTTTAGGACATGCATTTATAAGAACTTTTTTACTTATTTTTACCTGCAGAATTTGTTGCCGAAGTTTCCGGAATACAGTTCGGACCACCCTGTATATCCTGAAACGTTAAGCATTTTGAAACTAAAAGAATTTTTTACTTCCATTATCTTTATTTATTTTTGATTAACACAACGTTTCGATCAGAGGAATCACTGACTGTTATCAAGTATAGTGATCCTTCAGACCGAAACGTTGTGTTAACCAAACCAAACCAAATCAAAAATAAATAGACAATGGAAGTAAAAAATTCTTTTAGTTTCAATACTTAATCATTGTCTACCACATTCAAAGTTAGGCAAATTTGTTTTACTAGTAAAATATCACTGACCAGCTAAAATCCGTTTGGATTTAACGCCCAGTGGTGTTTACAAAAAATAACTTTATTGTTTTGTAGATTCTCTTCCAGTAGCCAAAAATCCACAACTTACTTCATTTTTAGGAGTTCTTTAAAAAAATTCAAATAAGTTTTTCTAAAATACAATGTGGAGCTTTTATTCTTCATTCTTAACCTTTACAACAATTTTCATTCTTAACATTTACATAAGTTGGAGATGCAACACACGGTATAAACAAATTGGCTACGACTACAATAGGATTCATGGGCCTTTATGTTTAATTATTTCGGAGATCAACAGAACGGACACTTACTTGGAATCCCTCCAGTGGCATTGGCATATGATCTCGGGCCGGTTGATTGATATACAGGAAACACCAAGTTGGTTTTCCAGTCGTTTATATCTAGAGCTATACTTGAAGTACGTAATTCAGCTGGAAATCTAAAAAAAGAAACAAAACCAATCAAAAAAACTAAACCATGCTTGCTTCATCCACGTTACCGTAGATGGAGCTAAGAAGGCTTAGGTAGGGTATATATAATAAATAAACAAAAATACGAGTAGCGGAAAAAGGGGCCAAAAAACCCTACATATATGCTTATTCTCTGCATTAAGTTCATCAGACAAGAGAGAACACTAATAACTAAAGTGAGAGAGACCGATCAACGTTAATTTTTGAAGACTGTGTTAGTGGCGCGGCCTTTGGCGTCTAACCCGAACTATGAGCGTATTATCGATATAGTAGGTGGCATTCATACCTATATACAGGCGCCAAAAATTTAAAATTTGTATATTTGAACCGAATCTTAATCTTTCAAGTTTGTAATAGAAATCTTCGTAGTTTTTTTAGATTATTTTGTTGACAACGAAAATTTATTATTAGACTTTAAAGCATTAAAACCTATAAATAAAATACTGTGTAGGAACATAATAATTTATTTAGCTCCATACTCCTTGCCATACTCCAACTCAAGGCTGCAATCTTCAGTACCTTTTTTATCTAACTTGGTTGGGAGTGGACAGGGAAGCACGGTTGGGAGCTCGCACAGAGTATCAGTAGGTATCCCGTAGGTATTCAATGTTTTTGATAGTCTTTATTCTATAACAAGAACCTAGCAGTTGAAGAAAATAATTTGTATTACTGTAAATAATACCAAGTATAATACCTAGTCGTTCCATAGGTATCAGAAAAGAATGTGATGTTTTAAATTAAAAAAATGAAATTAGCAATGTACGATTATTATGTGCACTCACTATTACTATTAGGTATGTTAAAATAATTACCGAGATAAAACTTACCTTTAAAGGAAACGTTTTGTCTGGGTCTCAACCACAAAACAAAAATTACAAAAATGCCGAATAATCGTGGAATCTGAAATAATCAATAATGAAAATAATCTTTTCTTCTGACAAGCTAAAAGAACAGGCACATTCAGCAAAAACAATTTATGAATTTATTACTCTGATTTGCTCCGATTATCAACAGATTTTAGTTATCTCCTTCTAGAACTAAGAAATAGAAAAAGCTACTGACAATCTAATTAATTCTGTCAAATGTTTAACTTGCAAAGTTGAAAACTTTCTTTTTTGACCGCCTAAACGCTATGCGCGTCTGGGATGCGCGGTGCCAAATAAACTTGTCTACGAAATGCCCTCCTCACTTTAGTTATTAGTTTCTCTCTGGGAACGGCCATTCGACGACCGGTTTCGGAGATTTTTCTCCATAGTCCATCGTCAGGCCGACATTGCTGTAACCCTCGATCTGACCAACGAAAAGCAGAGTAATAGCATTTGAGTACAATAAGTACTACTATGGCGAGAGTGCTAGACGCTCTACGCCATCTAGCGGTAGCTGTGACAATCACAGATCGTACCGCCAAAATGAAAACCAGTGACCTACTGGACAAACATGCTTGCTTCATCCACGTTACCGTAGATGGAGCTAAGAAGGCTTAGTTAGGGTATATCTAATAAATAAACAAAAATACGAGTAGCCCCTTTTTCCGCTTCTCGCATTTTTGTTTATTTATTATATATACCCTACCTAAGCCTTATGCTTGCTTCATCCACGTTACCGTAGATTGAGCTAAGAAGGCATACATATATACCCTACCTAAGCCTTCTTAGCTCCATCTACGGTAACATGGATGAAGCAAGCATGTTTGTCCAGTAGGCCGCTGGTTTTAATTTGGCGGTACGATCTGTGATTGTCACAGCTACCGCTAGATGGCGTAGAGCGTCTAGCACTCTCGCCATAGTAGTACTTATTATACTCAAATGCTATTCTCTACTTTTCGTTGGTTACACAGAATAACTACAGAACGATCAGTCAATGTAATAAAAAAGCGAACAAAATTTTTGCTGCCATCTATAGTGGGCCGAGTGCGGCTCAGAGCTTCAAGGTCAAAATAATTTATTTTTTAAATAAAAAAGTTGTGTCGGCGGCACGACTCGAACCGGCTACCTTCGTGTTGCTAGACGAGAGCCATATCCCCTACACCACCAGATACCTTTAGGAGAATTATATCTTTGTGGTAATAAATTATAAATTCAGCCTGCTATAATGTATATGTAAAATTTATCCTACAGGCTGCTTATACTTTGAAAATTCATCTCGTTGCAGTTCATCACAGTTGTATAATTCAAGAAGCACTAAGAAATATGGCTATCTTTGAATAATATAATATGAAAAAGTTGGAGTCGGAATACAAAAAGCACGAGAAATACATTTTGTATTAAAAACAAAATATAGGCAGCTTAAATATAGTTTGAACCATAAATAAAGGAGTATTTGAAGTACAGCGTGGACGGAAGAGGGAAATCAATTGCAAAATTTATAATATGAATTTAAAGACCGAGCCAATCGTAACGTTTGAAGCAACCATATATACACGACGAACTGTTCTGCAACCATATATACACGACGTAAATTAGCACCATCTATAGTGGGCCGAATCGTCAATTTGTAATTTAATGCTCCATAAGAGTGACTGGGCCCTGGTTGGTTAGATCGAGGATTACAGCAAAGTCGGCTTGACGATGGAAAAGAATCTCCGAAACCGGTCGTCGAATGGCGTTCCCTTCGGTCTGATAAACTTAATGCTGAGAATAATATAGGGTTTTTTGGCCCCTTTTTCCGCTACTCGTATTTTTGTTTATTTAAAACTAAATCAGTTTTAAATATTTCACATATTAACGTGTTTATTTTATTGATAACGTGTTATTGTTACTCTGACTTACTTTATTTTTATATTGCTATAATTGTTTATTTACAAGTTCAGACATTAGTTTTTGTTTTATTTACATCTTTAAACGGATGAATTTTACATGAAATTTACATGTTTAAGTAAGATGAAAACATAAACAACGCAAGAACTCCAAGGCCTGACTTTTTGTGTAAAAATATGTGCCTGGAGGATATTTTATCAAAATAAGACAAATTTTTTGTGATGAAACGTATAAAATGCATGACTTGTGATAGTATTTTAGACAGTAAAGTGTAGTAGAGCATATAGATAGTACATGAGAGAAGATGCCATTTGACATTATACTTAAATAAACAAACATTTTGCTTGTAGATGTATATTTATGGTTAGTTTATCTTGTATACATGTTTATTAGGGTGAGCTAAAAAAAACAGAAACCTATAGAATAACCTATGGAATTTATGGGTTAAAATGAACCAAATAACCGAGAAAAAATATCCCCGAAAGGCAGGATTTTTAGCTCAATTTAAAAAGGTGATGTGAACATTTAAAGTTTTCCATTTAAACAACACGTAAAAAAATCAATAAACACTAAAACTGATTGATTATATTGATTGAAATTTTTTTTCACTTTTCAAAGCTTTCAAATATACGAATTATTGAACTGAAAAAAATTACTCTCAGATAAATTTTTTAGTAAATTTTATGCTCTACAAGAATCCGCGATGTAAAATTTTTTATCTTTTAAAGTTATGGTACTTTTAATGGAAAAAGTTTTTTTTGTGAGTAATTTAAATGGTAAACTTTGAATGTTCACCGACACCTTTTAAAAGTGAGCTAAAAATCCTGCCTTCCGGGAATATTTTTTCTAGGTTATTGCTGTTATTACGTTCATTTTAACCCATAAATTCCATAAGTTAGTTTGGCTCACCCTAATGTCTATGTAGCTGATACTCTATAAGCGATAGCAAATAAACTTTTAGTTACGTCACCAACGGCGCGATTATAAAATTCATTGTTGCCAACCATGGACATATTCGGAGAGCGCTGGCGATTCAGGTGGTAGCTCTGCTGTTAAAAATATCAAGTTGCCACATTTATTTATTTCTTTGAATTTATTTATTTCGTGACATTGTCATTTGTTTTAACGTTTGTTTAGTTGTTGTTTTACGTTTGTTTTACTGTTTTATATTCGAGTGTTTGGTTTAAATGAACTGTGTTGTGATACTTTAAGATGAAACATTTTTACTAGCAGACTTTGCAATCGAAAATGGTACTTTATATTAGAACCGCTTTTAGTGCGAAGTGTACCAGGTGTCCCACTAAGAATAGCTCTCGGCTGTATCTCGGAAAGTATTAGTCGTAGAGCTTGCGGAAAAAAATATTTATAACTAAAGAGGGCATGAGAAATTGCTGGAAATTATTTTCAAGTTTGTAGAGCGGCCGCTAGATGGCCCAACTGCTATTAAAAATAAGAAAATGGAGTTTTTACACAATTTTGCCTAGACAACGGATGCTATAAATAATAGATTCATAATCTTCAGTAAATTTTGCATATTTTTTGTTAGAACCATTTTCCCCTATCTGCCAAAATAAAGTGGTGGGGGAAGGTTAGATCTATTTTTATGTAAACATTAATTAAACATTAATAACTCCGGACTGGATAAACGGAATCTAACAAACGGGGGCTCGTTTAAAAGAGCGTTTCTTACTCTATATTATAGCGTATAAACAATAATAACAAGCTTTTGAATGTAGACGCTAGGGGGCGCTGTCTTACAATTTAACAAACATTGCGCGTTTTTTCAAAAAAATTAAATGCGATAGTATATATAATTTTAGCTGATAGTAAAGAGTAATAAAAGCTTAAAAAGTCAGCGAAAACCGCATCTTGATATCCTTTTTCAAACCGAAGATATTAGCAAAATTATAATAAATACGAAAAAATAAGCCTTTAATTACATTATTTTTTTTAACACGGTTACAGTAGCCCTCTTGATTATGACCATTCTAATAAAAAATAAGATAGAAACGATTAGTTTATTCTAAAATCGACAATATACCAGAATACGATAATACCAGATGGATTAATATCTAATAATTAAGATATCAATGAGAGTGAATAAAAAGCAACGCCTCAGTGAAGTCATGGTAGGCTTTGGAAAAAAGATGCTTTTGACGTAATAGTATAAACGTCAAAGAGTTATTAAGTCAACATTTTGATAGTCTTAGCAGTGTTTTTTCTCTTTTGAAGAAAGACATTTTTAGAAATGCAATCAAAAGATAAAAAACGCTGCTGAGACTATCAAATTGTTGATATAATAATATTTTGAGTTTAAACTATCTCTTTAAAAGCAACTTTTTTCCAAAGCCTACCATGAATTCACTGAGGCGTCGTTTCTTAGTCACTTTCATTGATATCTTAATTATTAGATATTCATACACCTAGTATTATGGTATTCTGGTACATTGTCGATTTTTTGAATGAAATAATCTTTTCTATCCTATTTTTTATTAGAATGGTCATAATCAAGAGGGCTAGGGATACCGTGTTAGAAAGATAAGTCAATTAAAAGCTTATTTTTTCGTATTTATTATAATTTTGCTAATAACTTTGTTTTGAAAAAAGATATCAAGATGCAGTTTTCGCTAATTTTTTAAACTTTTATTACTCTTTAGTATCAGCTAAAATTACATATACTATCGTATTTAACTTTTTCGAAAAAACTCGTAATGTTTGTTAAATTGTAAGACAGCGCCCGCTAGCGTCTACGTTTCAAAAGCTTATGTTTATTGTTAATACGGTGTAATATAGAGTAAGAAACGCTCTTTTAAACGAGCTCTCACTTGTTGGATTCTGATCAACCAGTCTGGAGTTATTAACATTTAAATAAAAACAGATCTAACCTTCTCCACCGCTTTATTTTAGCAGATAGGGGAAAATGGTTCTAACAAAAAATATGCAAAAATTACTGAAGATTATGAATTTATTATTTATAGTATCCGTTATCTAGGTAAAATTGTGTAAAAACTCCTTTTTCTTATTTTTAATAGCAGTTGCGCCCTCTAGCGGCCGCTCTACAAACTTGAAAATAATTTCCAGCAATTTCTCATACCCTTTTTAGTTATAAATGTTTTTTTCCGCAAGCTCTACGACTAATACTTTCCGAGATACAGCCGAGAGCTATTCTTAGTGGGACACCCTGTACAAGATTCCGAAATAGCCGTTGCAAAAACTCATCGCAATCTTATTAGAATATTTTGAACGGGAAAGCGGATGTAATGGCCTTTTATGTCCCTTAAGTGCTGCTAGAGAGGTGAGTTTCGCTGATGTAAATAATAACTGTTTATATGTTTATAATTAATTCATTTCTGTTCCCTAAAATATTTTGACTAAAAGAAAATATGCAAATGTCGGCAACACCCTGGCGGTCAAGCTTAATCACGTGAATAAAAGTTTATTTGGTATGATCTATAGTAACATTACCTAATACGCAAATCGAAACTGTCATCCAATGATGATTTGTTGGCATAACTGTCGTTAAATTGAATCCCCGCGTAGATTTTGTTGCTTCCGTAGGTGACGTAGTAAGCTTCCAATTCGGCAGAACTTGGAAAATCGGTGACGTTGGTGAAAAGCTGTTGGAATATCGCCATAATTTTGTCAATCTCTTCATTTTGCGGGGAATATATTAAGTTCATCGGAATTATGCTGAAATTAAACCAATCTATGTAATTTATAATAAAAGCCCATTTATATGAGTCAAGTTGCAATGGGTTTGTCGACCTGGACATAGGAAATTCCATGCAAATTTTAAAAATGATGAATAAGTTTTTCCCATTTTATTTTACAAAAAAATGTATTTGAAACTTTTTCAAAAAAACAAATTGAGGCAAATTATTCATTTTGAATGATTTATATCAATTCGATTTTGAATTATGAGAGATACAAAAATTCTGCATTAATCAAAAAATTAATACGGTCCAGATTAAAATAACAAACATGCCACCATAGATCAAGGAAATAAATTTACATTGGAAAGCCTGTCAAAATATATAATTGTTTTGGGTCGCGACCGTGGTACGCGATCTGGCGCTGCTACAGCGGTTGCTACAGCGCTTGCTTAACCCTTTAAACCGCCCTCATTGAAAAAATAGAGAAAAGTGTTTAAAGCGTCCATTCTCAAAGTAATTATTGCTATCTTGTGAGTTTAATTTAAATTTTACTTAACTCAAACCTCTGATAATTGTGAAAAAGTGGCCTTGAAAACTAAAAAATTGTTTTGAACTGTGTGTCATTGTTGTGAACTGTGAACTGCAAAAAACCATCGTGGATCGTGGCATAACGTCGGTTTCCAATATTTCATAGGCATTTAAAATAAAGTTTCTTGTATGCAACACACTGTATTTTATTTTTAAAATTAAAAGAAAATATTAATAAATTTGAAAAATAATATTTGGCGAGATAATTCCGGAAGAAGCCGAACCGATCCGAAATTATCCCAAGCTTTGAGTCGCGACCGTTGCAAGAATAACGCCAAATCCAGATACTGTTTACATTGTCCTTACATTGTCTTATGGGCACATTCCAATCTAAACTTGTTCTATTTATCTATGCATGCCACCTTCAAACTCAATCTTTTAATGTCATATGGTCATATTGACTTTATACCTGCGAAATATAATTTATAAATATAAATACCACAAAAAAATAGTTTAGTGGTATTATGGAGGAAAAGTCTACAGGCTGTACATCTTCCAAAAATGCCAGGCTTTCTGTACATCTTCCAAAAATGCCAGGCGAGTTACTGAAGACTATAAATGTAAGAGAAGAATTTCAACACGAACAGGTATTAAAGACTGTAAATATAAAAAGGAGATTAATACTGATAAGGATCATGGAGAAATAATAAATGAAGATGAATATATATATATATATATATATATATATATATATATATATATATATATATATATATATATATATATATATATATATATATATATATATATATATATATATATATATATATATATATATATATATATATATATATATATATATATATATATATATATATATATATATATATATATATATATATATATATATATATATATATATATATTCAATACAATATTCAATACAATATTCTGTTACAAGTGGAATATAAAAACGAAGTAAGTACCAGAATATTTGGAGAAATAGTCGAAAAACATGGTACAAATCATTAAATCATTTAAATATTCCGAACACCATGAATTATTGAACAGGGGTGAAGAACGTAGGGCAAATTTTATCCATTTTTTAATTATTAACAAGTACTTAATTTTGTGAATTGTTTAGTGTTTAATAAATAAATTTTCTTTTGAAGCAGTGTGCTTACTTATCTACGAAATATATTTCATTTTTAAAAGATTCTCGTATGTTTACAGCCTTCTTTTTGTAACTTTTCATAAAGAATTTAACTGAGAATATTTTTGATAAATTTCTGTAGAAGATTGTCAAAATTTGAGATTTTTTAATTTTAAATAGTTGAAGTTCATTAATATATTTTGAACATCCTCTAGCATCTAATTAAAACATTTTACATATACAGGGTGCTACAAATTCGAGGTTCGAGCATTGGTATCTCGGAAACCGTAGTAGATACCGTAATAGGTGATTAAATTGGGGCAAAGTTATTAAAGACTGTAAATATAAAAAGGAGATTAATATTGATGAGGATCATGGAGAAATAATAAATGAAGATGAATTAAATATTCTGTTACAAGTGGAATATAAAAACGAAGTAAGTACCAGAATATTTGGAGAAATAGTCGAAAAACATGGTACAAATCATTAAATCATTTAAATATTCCGAACACCATGAATTATTGAACAGGGGTGAAGAACATAGGGCAAATTTTAGCCATTTTTTAATTATTAACAAGTACTTAATTTTGTGAATTGTTTAGTGTTTAATAAATAAATTTTCTTTTGAAGCAGTGTGTTTACTTTTATCCCAAATTACCGTAATAGGTGATTAAATTTTGCCCCAATTTAATCACCTATTACGGTATCTTTGGATGTTCACCAAGATGCCATCAAAAATCTAACGACAAGAAAAATAAAATTGATTTTCAAAAAAATCCATTTTTCCAAAAAACGCAGCAATCCTTGAAATTTTTAAAACTCTTTTCATAGCATCTTGGTGAATAATCTAAAGCGCAACTTTGTCCCAATTTAACCATGTTCGTATCTATTACGGTTATCGAGATACCAATGCTCGTACCTCGAATTTGTAGCACCCTGTATATAAAAAAATTATCGAATTTTACCCAGAATCTAAAAATAAAATAAAAAATAGGGTGTTGTATTTAAAAAAAACATGTATGTTACATCCCCCACACTTTTTTGAAAGACAGAGGAATTGCTGTTACTGGAACCATTAGCAGATTATATGGAAAAGTGTTAAAGGGTAGAAATGAAAATGAGTATAAAGATATCGAAGCAGAAGAACAAGCTGGGTTTAGGGCTGGTAGATCTACCATTGACCACCTCTATTGTGTCATTGTGTCTCCATTGACCACCTCTCAAGAAGCTCTGGTTAACTTTAGAGAGAACTAATCGAAAAATATACGAAATGGGGCCTAGAAATAAATACTAAAGAAAGAGTGTATGTGTATCGGAGTGTTGCGGACCCGTGCCGTGTGAACTCAGCCTTAGGCCTGGCCACTCGCCTATGACTCATACGCCCAGCAATGCCGACGTTCTAAGAACGAATAAGAATTTACTAGACAAATCTGGATTGTCTGTTTCTCTCCTATATAAGCAGATGCCGGGGCCTAAGAGGGATAGAAATAAATAACCGATCGACGCGTACAGTTACAATCGCCGCGCTAATTCAAAATAAATTTCTGTTAGATAAATAATTAGATAAATTGTAAATAAGTTATAAATAGTTCTTTAAGTTTTTTAATCGTTATTGTTTTTGTTAATTAGTGTTAAATATATTGTGTTTAAATAAATTGTGACTTGCTATCCACACGGAACTGACGAAAAACGTAATAGGAGGAACACCAGAAGATATAATTTTAGAAAATGGCGATCAAATTAGAAATTGCGGAGAATATAAATATTTAGGTTTAAAAATCACTCAAGATGGAGTCTTCGATACAGCAACCAAACATCGCAATTAACAAGGTAGAAAAGCTATATCCATGATGAACGGAATTCTATGGGACCAAAATGTATCTAAGTCAAATAAAGGACTAATTTATAATACTATAGTAAAAAGTATAGTTATATATAGTAGCGAAGTATGGCCCATAAAAAAACAGAGCACCGAAAAAATGATGTTAACAACAGAAATAAATTTCTGGAGAAGAGCCGCTGGAAAATCAAGAAGAGATATGGTAAAGAACGAAAGAATACGGGAAATAATGGGAGCTAAATCTACGATTGTTGATGATATCAAAACCAAATAGTTGATCCGGTACGGGCATGTACAAAGGATGTCAGACGACAGGCTTCCAAAAGAACTGCTAAAATGGATGCCCCATGGTAGAAGAAGAAGAGAAAGACCAAGAACAAGCTGGAGAGAAGGAACAAGGAAGGAAATGAACCAAAGACAGCTTAATGATAAAATGTGACAAGATAGAGTGGCGGTCAGGAATTGGAAAACGCCGTAGCATGTTGTAAACCGAATGTATATACAGGGTGAGTTTCCTACGATGTTCTCTATGGGTATCTCGGAAACTACTGGTGACAGAGAGTCGGTTAAATGGGGAAGGAATTGCAGTTTTGCGGGGTCATAAATATGTGCCTTTCAGATTTTTTAAAAAGTTTATGGCTTACTAAATATTTCGAAAAAAACAAATTTTGGCTATTTTAAAAATTGTCCTTAATTCCACTATAATCTATTTTAGGCAAAAAGTTTTCAGATAAAACGTGTAGATAATCACATTCCTAATGAATTTGTGTGCTCCGATTTTTTCTAAAGCCTGTCATTTTTGACATATGACACAAGCGTATGTTTTTTAAATGGAAACCATAGTTGGCCATGACTTCATAAAAACCGCCATTTTTTAAGCTTTTCAGCGATATAAGCTATAATATGTTTTTTTTTCGAAAAATTACATAGCTATGGAAACAAGTTCAATCATCGTTGCTCTTAGAAATGTGAAACTGTCACATCCAAACTTTGTAAATTAAAATTAATAAAAATTGTTAATATGAATTTTTCAAATGAAGAAAAGCGTGTAAGAGTAAATGGACGCGTTATTGGTTCAACTTTTCTTGGTCATACGTTTTCGAGGATACGTTGACAGGTGAACGTTACTTACGTTTTTTAGTGAAATGTTTTGAAGACATGTTCGAACAGTTAAATTTAGATACTCGCACATCAATAGAGTGGTTCCAACATGACTTTCATTATGAACCCCCCACCCTCCTCCCATAAGAATAGGGTATAATATGTTTTTTTTTCGAAAAATTACTGTGTTATAGTCAATTCTTATCTTTCTTGACTAATCTCTAGTTGGCATAGTATTCTGTTATGATTTATAACTTATAAAATGACAGAATATATTATTAAACGGTTCTTTACAATTTATATTACACATAGTAAAACTTAAAAAAAAATAATATCACACATACACTTTAAGTTATTTTAGAAAATGTTCAAAAAATCAGCCATTGTTTTGAGTACATAAATGCGTCTTTTTAAAACTGAATTACTAGCTAGTCTCACAGAACTACCGGTTGATTTAATTAAACTTCTCCCGTACCGCCTCTTTGAGTGGCTCTCTTAATTCATAAGTTTTTTTGTAGACCTTGTTGTTAACCATACTGCATAAAAAAAAATTAAAATGAATAGGTTATGTGATGGAGGAGGCCCATGCAATTGGTCCACCTCTTCCTATCCCTGAGTGCATAATTATGATATAAATAATTTTTAACATTTCTTTCATTATGGGGGGTGGGTCATAATGAAAGTCAAGTTGGAACCACTCTATTGATGCTCGAGTATCTAAATGTAACTTTTCTTACATGTCTTCAAAACCGTTCTCTAAAAACGTAAGTAACGTTCACCGGTCAACGTATCCTTGAAAATGTATGGCCAAGAAAAGTTGAACCAATAATCCTACACGCTTTTCTTCTGTTTAAAAATGATAATAATTGACTATAACTCAGTAATTTTTCGAAAAAAAGATATTATAGCTTATATCGCTGAAAAACTTAAAAAATGGCGGTTTTTATGAAGTCATGGCCAACTATGGTTTCCATTTAAAAAACATATGTTTGTGTCATATGTCAAAAATGACAGGCTTTACAAAAAAATGGAGGACACAAACTCATTAGGGATGTGATTATCTACAACTTTTATCTGAAAACTTTTTGTCTAAAATAGATTATAATGGAATTAGGGACAATATTTAAAATAGCCAAATTTTTTTTTTCGAATTTTGTTTTTTAAAAAATCTAAAAGGCGCATGTTTATGACCCCTCAAAACTGCAATTCTTTCCCTATCTAACCGACTCTCTATCTCCAGTAGTTTCCGAGATACCCATAGAGATCGTAGAAAACTTACCCTGTATATAAAATAATACCACAGATTAAGTATACTATATTTATACAGATAAAAATCTTATCCCTAATTCGTGGTACGAAAATTGTTTTTTATGACGATGTGCAAACGAGTCAAATTTCCTGTGCGCAAAAATAAACTCCCGTAAAATAACAATACACAGCGTAATAGAGAGATATCGCTAAACCGAATAGCGTGCATGGACGTTAATAAGGCCAGATGTTATTTCCTTTACGTGAAGTGGTATTAATTCTCTTCATTTATAGTTATCGGATCGGAAAGAATTCTGGTCGCGTCGCGTCCGCTATTTAAACTTAACCTAACTTTGAATTTAAATCTTTGAAATTGTTTTGTTTACTAGGTATTTTAAAAGTAAAGGGCTAAAGTGCTTCTTTCCAGTGCTTTATTGTTCAACGTCTGCCAGTGGGTTTAGAGCAACAAGCAACAAATAATTCTCTTAGAAGGGCTAAGTCGTCATCTGGAATTCTCTTAGAAGGGCTAAGTCACCAAACCAAACCAAACCAAACCTAAAGCTTGTTTCATGTAGACGCGAATTGCGAATTGCGGAAAACGATTCGCCAAAAAATATTCGCAAAATTTGGACCTATTTCATACAGTCGCGAATTTTTAGGGACATTTTATTTTTGCTCCACTGCAAGTTACCAAAAAAAAATCATAACCTGAGATAACTTAATTTGTTTTTTATTCGTGTTTACGACCTTTATTTTATATTTTATAGCATACAATAGCTTACTTCGGGTTTCTCTTATTACCGATTCCGAACCGTTCTAGAACTGTGATGCGTATGTGCAGAAGGAAATATGAAGACATTATTTCATTTGCGCATGCACTGCAGAGTTCTAGGACGGTTCAGAATCGGTAATAACAAGAACCCGAACAAATCTAATATGAGTTCAAATTTGTTTAATGATTATGAATATTAATTACGATTGTGGGATTGGAACAGAAGGCGTAAAATTGCCATTTACTTATTGTTAAAACGTAGAAGAGAACGGTCATTTGGGACATGAAGACAAGAAATGAGGACAAAAGATGAGAAAAAATTTAGGAATTTTCACAGATTGTCTGTACAGGAGTTTGATAACTTGGTTGAAAAATTGTCACCATATATATCAAAAACATATCATAAACATATGCACGAGAACCCATTTTACCTGGAGAAATCCTTTCAGTTACTTTGTACTTTGTCAGCGTCGTTAAAATAATCGATAACCGATCACAACACCATTCTGCGCAAACGCAAACCTTAAAATCGCGCGAATATTCGCAAAAGTTGAAAACACTTTAACTTTCCCGCCCCCCAAATTTTAAATCTTGCGAATCGCCAAAATCTTAAAATTTCTGACAGCGCCGCCATGATCATTAAAATTGGACCAATGAGAGCAGTTTCGCAAAATCGCGATTCGCGTCTACATGAACAAGGCTTAAGTCTCTTTATAGGTTCTTTAATATTGGAAGAGGTGGAATCCATATTTTGGGATATTTATTTAATTAAAACTAATCCCAGCTACTTAAATATCAAATTACCCAATAAAACTAAAGTAATAATTCAAAACAATTCAAACATAACCTAAAATAAAAGATCTCGCCGGCGCGGCCGGCCCCGGTTATCAAATACCCGCACATGCCCATTTAAGCAATTTTTTAACGTTATTTAGAAATAGCGCTTGGTGTAATTGATCCGCAAATTACGTCAGACGGTAACGTTATTAGCGGGCTTTGCGTTAAAAATTGACTCGCGCATATAGTAACCATGACTGACCATGATAAGGTACGCGTAAATACTGCATGACGCTATTCGGTTTTGCGATATCTCTCTAATAACTGTGCCGGTCAGGCGGTGTGCACAATTTTAGAGGCCATAAGTGGGCGTGCTATGTGCTAGTCACCTAACTAGTGCCCGATTTCGAAAATTGGAACCACGAATAACAATAAAGAAAAAACAAAGATTATAATCTGCTGTGATAATACTTACTAGTTTGAGGTAGGATCGTCATCATTAACTCTTTCGTCGTTCGCCAACTGAAACTTTTTCAGAAACTTAGTTCTGTTTAGACGTCTACTAACTGCATTGTTCGGTAGATCACAATATCCAGGAATACTGATTGGCAATGTACAGAATGAATTATAAACTATGGCATCGTGTGGTTCAGGATCGACTACCGTTCGGATTAGTACCAATAATATGGAAAATATGACGGGGGACAGAATTTCTACTATGGTCTGGATCGGTTTCCTGTACTGCAGTACCCAGTTCTTCCACAATAGCAGGCGAAACTTGTTAAAGTTTCCCGCCATGGTACCTGAAAAACACAGAATGAACAAGATGTAATAATGCAGATTGAATTCTTTTAGGATTGATATAAGTTTCATTTCAAATAACTGAAAAGTCAATTTTTCTTTCAACGAATTTTTTGGCATATGCCAAAATACATTTTCATATTATACAGTGTGGCGCCTCTCTTACGACGCGGAGGCTCCAAGGAGAACGATAGTATTGAAATGAAATTTTGTGAGCATATTATGTGAGTTAATTTAGAGCATTTTTTAAAATATAGAGTGTTCTATAGGGTGTCCCCAAAAAAAGGTACACATGAAAGTTGTGTTTTTTTATAATAGAACATCCTATACAGGGTGCTAGAAATTCGAGGTACGAGCATTGGTATCTCGGAAACCGTAATAGATACGAAGATGGTTAAATTGGGGCAAAGTTGCTCCTTTGGATGTTCACCAAGATGCCAACAAAACAGTTTTAGAAATTTCAAGGATTGCTGAGTTTTTTGAAAAAAAAATCTGATTTTTGTGAAAATCATTTTTATTTTTTCCTGTCCTTACTTTTTAGAAAATGAAAAAACTATCTCTATCATATTCTCATAGTCACTTTATTAGGGCTATCTGATAGTATGTTTAGATTTTCAAATTAGCTGACAATTTGTGAAATTCAGAGGCCAACTTAATTTTTTTAAATAAGGACCTGCATTTTATATTTCAGGTTTTGAAAGAGCTCGATCTCCTGAGTATAATGATATGCCACACTTGATACTTTTTTTTTTGTTTTAGGTACCTTAAAAATAACAAAACTATTTTATTATTATTAAAAATGACTGATTATATTCATTGCAACAATATTGATCAGCGCTAATTAACATTGAATAAGGAAAATCAGGCCAATTGAAAGAATCAAATAAATAATATCCAGGTCAGCAATTTACAGATATTATTTTTAACTCTTTTTATTGTGAATTTGAAATCTCAATGTCTAATCTAATCTAATAATATGCATAATATTAATCGTAGTAATTATTAAAAAAAACAACTTTTACAAACAAATTCCTAATGCTTTACATGTTCGAAAGGGTTACAACCTTCCCTAATGCACAACGTTATTTTTGGTTCAATCTTATTTATAGCTCTTTGAATGAATTTTGTAATATTTATTGTAAATATTGAAATGTACTGATTTTACTTTAACAGATGACGTCAAGTAAACCCAGTTGGCCATTATACTGCTCTACCATTTCCTGTAACCATTTCCAATCCATCTTCCGGGGAATTGATTGTTTATATTATATTTATATTATTTATTTTATATAATTTTTTATTATTTTATTGCATCTGATTTTCCGTATTCAATATTTTACCTCACGTCATTGTTAAGTTTGAAAGCTTATCAATATTTTAACGATGAATAGATTAAATATTTAAAAAAACAGAGCCGGACTTGAAATTAGTTTCAATAAGTTGTGTTTAAATGTCCGAAACAAAAAAAGTAATAAGTGTGGCAAATCGTTGTATTCAGGAGACCGAGTTCTTTCAAAACGTGAAATAAAAAATGCAGGTCCGTATTTAAAAAAAATAAGTTGACCCCTCTATCTCGTAAATTATCAGATAATTTGAATATCTAAAAATACTATCAGATAGCCCTAATAAAGTGGGTATGAGAATGAGCAATTTTAGTATTTTGATTTTCTAAAAAGTAACGACAGGGAAAGTTGAAATCGATTTTTAAAAAAATCAGTTCTCTTCCAAAAAACTCAGCAATCCTTGAAATTTTTAAAACGTTTTTGATGGCATCTTGGTGAATATCCCAAGACGCAACTTTGCCCCAATTTGACTATCTTCGTATCTATTACGGTTTCCGAGATACCAATGCTCGTACCTCGAATTTGTAGCACCCTGTATATTAACTGATTTTCGGATTTTAGAAGAAAAATAAAGGTGAGAAGTATATGACTAAAATTTAAGGTTTTTGACATATTTAAATTTTTCTAAAAGGGAAGAACACTTTTTAAATTTCAATAATAGCTGACTGAATTCGAATTTACTCGGTATATCCCAATATGTAGTTAAAATAACGATTGTACTTAAATTAAATTAAAGCTTGGCCCAAAAAGTTATACAGGGTGAAACAAAATTTATATTGAACATTGGTCACCTTTAAAAGCAAATTACTCTTTTATTTTAAATGAAACACACAGTATATTGTTTCGATATTCAATTCGGAATTGATGTCTCTCTAAATTACTGTTAGGTTTGCCAACTCCTGAAACAAATATTTTCCCAGATATTTTCATTTTTATGATTTAGTGTCAGTAGATCTTTATTATTTGAGAAAATCTAGGTGGCCGTGATATGTCTGACGTTACTTCAACATAGCTGTGAAATTAGTTCAACTTGAACAACTAAAATATTTTGTGTCGATTAAAATAAAAATGAAAATCTCAGAAATATGCTAAAAATGGAAACTTATCCTACATCAGAAAGAACTGATATGATTATATATTAGTTGGTGACTGCAGTGTGCATTCACCAATTAATAGAATACTTATAAATGTTCCTATATTCATATAGAGCGGGCAGATCCACAGAAACTGCTCTGTACCAGTTAACTGAGCTAATACAGGCAAGCCTGGATAGCAAAGAAACAGCACTTTGTGCCTTCTTGGACATTGCAGGGGAGTTTGACAATATACCTCACAAGATGGTCAAGCGATCTCTTGAAACAAGAGGGGTGAAGAGTACGATAATTCGCTGGTTTTGGGAAATGCTCTCAACACGAACAGCAGAGGCTGAAATAGGTGCCAAAACTGTAGTTGTTAAAACAACGCAAGGAACTCCACAAGGTGGAGTGACCTACCCCCTACTGTGGAGCTTGGTAGTGAATGAACTACTGGAAGAATTAACTCTAGCGGGAATACACTGCATAAGGTATGCAGATGACATAGTCGTCATTGCACGGGGGAAACATGAAGGCACCCTGTGTGATATTATCCAAAGAGGACTCCGCATCGCTGAGAGATGGTGCAGGACTGTCGGGCTGAGTATTAACTCAGATAAAACCGCAGTAGTGCCATTCACCAGAAAGCGAAGTTTGAAAAACTTGAAAAGAATCCATCTAGATGGAAAGGAAATACTGCCATCACAGGAAGTGAAATATCTGGGAATAACCCTGGATAATAAACTTCACTGGAACAGGCCTATTAAGAACATCAAAGCCACAAAGGCTCTCATGATATGCAGAAGACTGGCGGGAAATAGGTGGGGCTGCGCCCCTAACATTTTGCGCTGGATGTATACCATGATAGTAAGACCCATGATTACTTATGGAGCAGTTGCTTGGTATACAAAACTAGAGCAACGTACAGCAAGGCAAAACCTGTGCAAAGTACAGAAACTGGCATGTATCTGCATCATAGGTGCCATGAGAACATGTCCAACAGCAGCAATGGAGGTCATTCTAGACCTAACACCACTGCACATTGTCGTCGGTAGTTATGCCAATGCGACAATGATTAGAGTGGTCATTGACGGAAACAGTACTGGGAGAATTTTTAGGTCAGGGGCTTGGAACACCCTCCAAAAGAAAATTCCACTTCTCCAACTCCCAGTGATGGCATACCAAGAATTTACAACTTTGAGAAACACCTCACTGTAGTATTGAGTAATAAAAAGGATTGGAAGAAAGAAACGCTTACTCAGCATATAAAAGACCATACCATCACGTAGTATACTGATGCTTCCAAAACCAAAGCAGGGACAGGGATAGGAGTGTTTGGGTCGAAAACTAAATACTCCGAACCAATGGGCACCTACCCCAATATCCTTCAGACAGAAATTTGCGCTATCAAAAGATGCGTACAATTTATCTTAGATAGGAACTATCGAAAACAGGAAATTGCCATCCTATCCGATAGTTAAGCAGCACTTAACGCGATAAACTCAGTAACCATCAATAGAGAAGCTCAACAAATTAGGCAAAGAAAATAAAGTCCTCCTACTCTGGGTGCCTGCTCACCAAGGGATAGAAGGCAATGAAAAAGCAAATGATCTAGCTAGAAAAGGAGCGAACACTCTACTAACTGGACCAGAACCGTTCTGTTTTCCAAACGGAAACCAACTGAAAGCGGAACTGAAGAATCTGGAAGACTCCATCCGTAACTTGGAATGGGTTGCCTCCAACGGTCTAAAACACTCGAAAAAGTTCCTCAGAACTTATGACCGAGAAAAATCAAAGGTTTTCCTTGATTTAAGTAAAAACAATCTTCGGATTGTCACGGGGTTTCTAACAGGACACTGTCTCCTCAACGAACACCTCAGTAGGCTGAAACTGAGAAACAACGGCGAATGCAGATTTTGTGAGGAAAATGGGAAAACACCAGAACACCTTATTATTGAGTGCGCCGAGACGACGACCATTCGTGCCATGAACCTTGGTACGTCTGATGTCGAGGATGGAGAGCTGGCCTCTGTGGAGCCGTCTCAGATACTGGCTTTTGTTAAAGCCCTGAGACTGTATGATGAGGTATAACTCGTTATAACTCAAGAAAGGGGAACACACAATAGATCTATAAGGTCGCGGTGATTAACGCCCCTCCTAAATATTCTACATTCAACATTCTACAAATGTTCCTAATTTATCTAGTCTTGAAATATAGAATAATGTGAGTAATTTAATATAGCAAAGTGCATTTTTGATAAAATTATACGTTAGATACAGGGTGGTCCGAATTGTATTCGGTAACTTCGGCACCGTATTTTACAGATAAAAAATTTAATTAGGTAATAAAACTAAAAAAATAAAACTAAAATTAGGTATAAATGCATGTCTTAAAATACTTTAAATTTCGGCAGCATATTCTACCAAAAAAAAATAAGTAAAAAAGTTATTCGTACAAATATACATCATTCGTATACAGAGTGGTCCGAACTGTGTTCCGGAAACTTCGGCAGCATATTCTGCAGATAAATAGAAGTAAAAATTTATAAATATATATATATATATATATATATATATATATATATATATATATATATATATATATATATATATATATATATATATATATATATATATATATCCAAAATGTTTCTTTTCGGAGATAGGGTGTAGAAGTCTCATTTTTATTTCGATTTTTTCCTAATAATTCTTGAACTAATGTCGATATTTGAATGAAAATTGGTTTCTGGGTGTTTTTTGACATGCGAAATTTGATTTCGATATCAATATGACTCTTACTTGTAGGGGGCACCACCTACACATATTTTGACTGGTTTTGAAGAACAATAACTTTTCGTCTGCACCTGTATAAAACTACTGAGCGAACAATAAATATATTATAAGGGTGTTTCAAAACAAATGCGAAAAACTTCAGGGGGTGATTCCTTGTTCAAAATAAAGGGTAGTTTGCTTTATAAACGTTGGGTCAAAAGTCAACCATTAGGGAGATATCGCGGTACAAAGATGGCGGAAAAATAATGTTTTATTTTTTTATCTTGAAAACGAAAGAGATAGACTAATGAAATTTTACGGAAGCATTACTGTTATGAAAACACACTTTCTGGTAATTTTTCACTTTTTTTAAATGAGTGGAAGGGGTTGAAATAAACTACCCCTATCATTCCTGTTAATGAAATTTAAAGAAAAATCTTATCAAACACATGCAAAAAAATGAATTTTGATAGTTTAGTTTATTTATAAACTTTTTTATCTCTTGTGTTTTTTGATAAAACTCACCGATTTGAAATTAAAAAAAAATGTAAAGCATTACATGTCAGGACAAAAACATTTTTAGATAAAGAATCTAGTGGGCAGCTGTAACTTTTTAGGAAAAAATCTAGTCGGCCGCTGTCACTTTTTAGGATGTTCCTAATATTGTTTTATTTGACATTACCCTACTGCAATACGTTATTATCTAGATTATTATTATTATCATTATTATCACTAGATTAATCTAAAAATATTTTTAGTCCTGACATGTAATGCTTTACATTTTATTTTTAATTTCAAATCGCTGAGTTTTATAAAAAAAATACAAGAGATAAAAAAGTTTCTAAACAAACTAAACTATCGAAATTAATTTTTTTGCATGTGTTTGATAAGATTTTCTTTAAATTTCGTTAACAAGAATGATAGGGGTAGTTTATTTCAACCCCTTCCACTCATTTTAAAAAAGTGAAAAAATTACCAGAAAGTGTGTTTTCATAACAGTAATGCTTCCATAAAATTTCATTAGTCTATCTCTTTTCGTTTTCAAGATAAAAAAAAAGAACATTATTTTTCCGCCATCTTTGTACCGCGATATCTCCCTAATGGTTGACTTTTGACCCAACGTTTATGAAGTAAACTACCCTTTTTGAACAAGGAATCACCCCCTAAAGTTTTTCGCATTTGTTTTGAAACACCCTGTATATTATAAATTTCCGCCGTTTTTTACGTAAAAAAGTTTCTTTATTACTTTTTAGGTAAAAATTGCTACGACTAGCTGTTGACAAGATATTTGGAATGTAAATCAAATGTAAATTATCAATACATGTCATTATTGACATAAATAATCATGTTGATTAGATAATAATTTGACTGAAATGATTAATCTGTAAGATTTTTAATTTATGAAATTATTTTGTAAAAAAAGTACAATGAAGCAGTTTCTGTGTAATCTTTGGCTCAAAACCATCTCAAATTTTTATGATTTTAGTCTAATATCTATCTAGTCAACATGCATGTTCAATTTTTGTCGATGATGACGATGTATTGGTTATTTCGATTCCAAATGTTTCCAGAAGCATTCCTCGTAGCGATTTTTACCAAGCGACCATTTTTGCGTAAAGATGGTGAAATTGTGTATTTTTTTTCACTCAGAAGTGTTATACAGGTACGGACGAAAAGTTATTACTTTTTAAACCAGTTAAAAAATATGTAAGTGACGCCCTCTACAAGTAGGATTCCTCTTGATATCGGAATCAAATTTCTCATGTTAAAAAACTCCTAGGCACCAATTTTCATCCAAATATCGACCTTAGTTTAGAAATTATTTGGAAAAAATCGCAATAAAAATGAAACTTCTGCACCCTGTATCTCCGAAACGAAGTATTTTGGGACACAAATTCATACGAACTTTTTTACTTATTTTTATATGCAGAATATGCTGCAGAAGTTTACCGAATGTAATTCGCACCACCCTGTATACATCTCATCTCCATTTATTGACGTGTCTTCTAATCTATGACGCAACCAGTAAAACGTTTCAATACTGACGATTTTCCTGCAGCTTACCTTATTACACACATATACCGACAATAATATAACCCGATTTTGCTTTATTTACATTGTTTTTTTGATAGAAATCATATCAAAAGCTTATTACCGTAGTATTTTTGTACTGGTGTAACTTTGTATTTTCGTGATATTAATAACAGACTTATGTTATTTCGATATCTGCTAAAATATTGATTATATGTAGATATAATTAAAAGTTACCTGCATATCCAGGAACATTATCGCTATCTGATTCGACATTGTCAATTAAATCGTAATGATAACGCGACGAACTAGACATATATGATAAGATTATGTGATAATATTAAGCTTAAATCTTTTAGAATCTAATTCCTGCTACGAATCAGCAGGAAAACAATTTAGGTTATGTTTTGTGTTTTCGTGTTTTGTGACTAACAGTTCTTTCGGAGAATATAGATTTAAGCTCAGTCACGCCAAGCCACGCAATAGATTTTTTTTTATTTTGAACGTCTATTAAAACAGTAGGATGGATTACATCATTTAGATATCCTCAAATTACACTATTTAATTGTTTTATTGTTAGTAACAAATTAGTCGTTCAATTCACTTTTCGGAAAAAAACCTTTATAATCAAGGTTTCCTTTATAGAATATTTGTTTTTTATGCAATGCAATGGTAGCGTAGATTTTTAAAATATTTTTTAATGTATCCTGCTTTATTGCAGGGTGTACAGACAGGGTGTCCCAAATTTGAGCCTTATTATTGGAATCTCGTAAACTAGAAGTTGCACAATTTGATGCTGATCAAAAAATGCCACCATAAAAAATTAAAAATTCCGTATACTTCTAAAGATTTTTGGAAAACCGGAATGTTTTATTTTTTATGACCCTATTTTAATAGATATACCGGGTGTTTTTTAAAAGTGACTCACCCCTACACCTTTTTTATTTTTTCAGATAAAAGGCGAGATTTGGTTTGTTAGTAATTATATGATATAAATCAGGATTGACTGACGTATTCATTTAGTTTCGATCACTCTCTGTTTCATCGGAAATGACTACAAAGTTACCGATCAAAAGTTGTAGAAGTAAAAGCCAGTACATAGTTGTAAAAGCGAGAATTGGTTTGTTAGTACTTATATGATATAAATCAGGATTGACTGACGTATTCAGTTAGTTTCGATCATTCCCTGTTTCACCGGAAATTACTATAAATTTACCGATCAAAAGTTGTAGTCATCTCCGGTGAAACAGGAAGCGATAAGAAAAACTGAATACATCAATCAATTCTGATATATGTCATATACAGGGTGTGGTGAGACTTAAATAAGTCAAATGTTTTCAGGGCTGGTAGATCTCGATAACAGAAACATATTTTCTCTTTATCGTTTTTCAAATAACTCCAAAATAACTCAGATATTTTACTTTGAAAAATACCAAAAAAAAGTTTTTTGCTTAAATTTTGAGAACCACTGGTTTTTTTCGGGGTTTTCTTTCTTGTAAATTTAATGTACTGCCTACAAATGTTGCCATATTATCAAGAAATCACGTTTTTTAACTAAAAAAAATTCAAAAAAAAATTAAAAAATTCACTATTTTTATTTTTTTTGCGAAAAAAATATCATAATCGTGTTTCCGGTTTTCGAAATATACTACACCCAAAAATATTTGCACTTATTTAAGACTCACCCTGTCCTACCAAATCATATATTTTTTTATATGAAAAAATAAAAAGAAAGGTGAGCCATTTTTGAAAAACAACCGGTATTGTTACTAACAATTTAGTGGTTCAATATATTACATTAAAAAAAAGAAATAACGTTAAACAAGTTCTTCTTTTTGAAATATTATTTTTTTTATATAACATGCGAGAAATGGGAAATAGCAGTGGAGTAAATGGAGTAGATTTTTAAAATATTTTTTAATGTCCTGCAACAGTGCGTCAGGCATCTATTTATTAGTCCTATAATAAACAACTTGGGATTTCATTTAAGTGCTGACCTAAACTATGGATGCATTTCAGGAAAATATGTTGACTTGTAAAGAATAACTCAAAAAAGTGTGCGTAAGGACTTTTATAAAACAACGCTCGTTGTATACTGCAGTTTGTCAGTTCTTCTTACTTTGTTATAAATATCGTATAATCGTAAAGTTTCCAAAATTTCAAAATTGTTATAGGGGGCAAGAGTGAACAGGTGGGCAAGAGTAAACGGCTCAATAATGTTTTTATTTATTGAAATTTTCGCCGCCAATGGTTATTGTAATGCGAACCGCGTACCGTGGACATGTTTGTTTAACTATGACCCAATTTTGAAAAAAATAAGCAAAAAAAAGGTGAGTTTTTGTTTTAATGATACATCGATGTAAGGATTAGTTGTTAGTTTATACCTTTTATTTCTTTCTGGTAGTTTTTTTTGTTTTTTTTTTGTATTCTATAACCGATCTGTAGAACCTAACCTATAAATTCATATTAGCTTGTAAGACCACCAGTGCCGTGTGGTTACAAAAAAACGTTGTTATTTAATTATCCGTTATGTGAGGCCCCCAATTATTCTATTAATTTTTTTTCAGGATGGTTCGCAATTACGTTCGGAAAAGTAGCAGGGCTTCCTATTCCGAGGAAGATATGAGCAAAGCAATAGACGAAGTTCAGTCAAAAACTCTTGGTTTGCGAAAAGCTGCTGAAAAATATGGCATTGCGGTAGCGACTCTTCAGAAGCGAGTTAAGAAAAATCAGCTTGTCGTGGTTAATATTGGTAGATATAAACCTACATTTAATACTGAACAGGAAGAAGAATTAAAAAGCCATGTATTGTCTCTAGAAAAATTGTTTTATGGAATTTCCCCTACAGAGCTGCGATGTCTAGCATTTGAATTTGCCGAAGCGAATCATATCGATCATCAGTTTAATAAAGAAAAGCGGATTGCTGGAAAACAGTGGGCACAAAACTTCATGTCAAGACTTGGGGGTTTGTCAATTCGAAGAAGCAACAAGCATGTCACGTATTTCTGGTTTTTCCAGAGCCAAAGTAGACTGGGGTAAATGTAGTTCAGAATCCAAAAAAAATAATAACGCAAAAAGGAAAAAAGCAAGTTGGGAGAGCTACTTCTGCTGAACGTGGAAAAACGGCCACGGTTGTGGCCTGTGTAAACGCTTTTAGATCTTTTATTCCTCCAGTATTGATTTACAAACGTGTAAGACTGAACCCCCATTTATTAACCGGGGCTATTCCAGGAACCATAGGAATTCCTAGCCCCACCGGTTGGATAGATACGGATATCTACTTTAAGGTGGTCGAGCATTTTATTAAATCAGTTCGAACTAGTAAGGATAACCCAACGCTACTTATCGTGGATGGACAGAGCGGCCATAAATCTTTAAAGGCAGTAAATTTGTGTCGAGAGCATGGCATTGTTGTAATAACGTTACCACCACATTGCACTAATCGCCTTCAGCCCGTTGATCTCACGGTGTTTGGTCCTTTTAAAACTTATTTAAATTCGGAAATGGATATTTGGATGACCAACCATCCAGGAGAACGAATCACAGAATATGACGTGGGTCCTTTAATAGGCAATGCATTCATGAGAGCAGCTACTCCTAATAATATTTGCAGGCTACTTTTTTTTATTTGCAGGCGGCTTCAAAACGTCAGGTATTTTTCCATACAATCCAAATGTTTCTTCCGATGACGACTACGCCGCAGCAGATGCAGTTAACGCTGGTTTGAAGGAAGTATTAGGTGATAAAAATATGAATAACGAAGAAGCAAAAGACAAGAAAAGCGTAGACAGTGACATAGAAGGTGATATAAAGAAATTAGAAAGTCCTAATGTGTCTGTGCCAGAATTGCTACCACTTCCAAAATCTAAACAAGAGCTTCTAAAAAAACGACCAACCGAGTTCAGCAAAAGTCAGAATTTATAACAATAACACCGTATAAAGAGTCTTTAGAAGAAAAAGAAAATAAAATTGTAGATTCTAAAAAAGTATTGAGGGTAAAAAGGAACATATGTGACGAAGAGCCAGGTGTATCGGGAATAAAAACAAAGAAGAAAGTTGCCAAGAAACAAAAACTAAATAAAGAGGACGATAATTGTGAATGCATTTATTGCGGAGGTAAATTCAGCGACTCTGGCGAAGATTGGATAAGATGTGCTACATGTGGCTTATGGTCACACGAGGACTGCACAGACGTTGAACATTTTGATAATTTTTTTTACTGTGGCTTTTGTCGTCCTTCTTAGGATTTTTTTATCGTCTACTCTTGCCCCATACCAGTGGGGCAAGAGTACAATGTTTTAAAAAATGTTTGTATTTTTGTTATTTCATGTTTTGATGAAGTTTTTTATACATATTTTTCTAGTGTGTATTACCAAAGATTGTTCTACAATATGCAAGTTTATTTTAACGTCTTGTATTAAACAATCAAAGCTTAAGTGTTCACTCTTGCCCCCCTCTCCCCTACTTATTATAAATTCTTCTTGGTTTTTTTTAAATACGCCCTGTATATATTTTTCTGTTAGATGCAGAATTAAAAGGTGAATATTTTTTTGTATTTAATGTACAGATATGTATATGTAGGTATATGTCGCAGGCGTATAGAATTATCCGGCTTTCTGCAAAAAGACTAGGCATATTATAAAACGCCGGCATTTTGAACAAAAGAAGGAATTTTTACAAAGTGCCTATGTATTTTCAATCGCTTTCCAAAAGGACTTTCTTTCCTTTGTTTAAAATGCCGGCATTTAATAATAGGCCTAGTCTTTTTGCAAAATGCCGAATTATTGGATACGCCTGCGACAAATAGATATTTTTTACGGTGTTCCACATATTTGTGGTATTATCGTTCTTTCATCGGTTGTTTACGGAAGCGCTGGAGGACCAGTATGTATTTTTTTTTAAATTCAACCGGTTGATTTTCACACTCAACTGATTGACTTAATACTCAACTAGTTGACCGGTTAACTTTATAAACTCAACCAGTTGACTTTATAAACTCAACCGGTTGAGTTTTTCAAAAATTTTAAATTATTTCCATAGATTATTTCTATTCCACTCTCACATGTGTAGCGCTTCCGTGCACATGTATAAAGTGCGTTTGCTGGATCTGTGTCTATGAAAGGAATGCGGACAAAAAACATTTAAATAAACAGCAATATATTTTATACGTCGACTTGACGAGTACGTCACTGCAAATCGCTCCGCCCACTCATTTTATTGGCTACTTGCAAATTTGTCGAATTTTTATTGATGGGACGCGTCCTCTAATTTTTTACGAAAAACATCGAGAGAATATCGTTTCCCCTCTCACGGATACCCCGTAGCTACAGAACGGACAGACGTACTATACACGCGCTCTCCTTTCGTGAAGTCCTAAAATAAAACGCCTTTTTGTGTAAAAGTTT